CATGGACGCTAAAAAAGCAAACGGTGTTGACACGGCATTCACGTGACTTGAGTGAAAAAAAAAATCACGTTATTTTAGCTGAAAAATCATATAACAGAACCTTTGACGGAGGAAGATAAATGAATCACATAAGTATAAATTTTGGATTTTTTATGTCACAATAAAAAGTTCGGGGTAAATATATCACATAAGTACAAGTTTCTGATTTTTAATGACACAAAAAAAAATCCAGGGTAAATATGTCGCAGTGGACATAGTTTGAAAAATTTTCGTGACTTTTCCTTTACATACCTAACATCCGATTTAAGTTTTTTTTTTTTTTTGGGTTGAACGATTTAAGTTTTTGAAGTGTAATAAAATATTGAAATCAGCTTAAATAAGAGAGAATATGATATGATTCTGAAGCCAAAATAGGCGCACTTCCTACTATATAATATTTCCGGAGAATATGATATGCTTTTTGGAATCAAATCGTACAATAATTTGAGCTTCTTTTTTGTCAAATGAAAAGGATCAAAGTCAAGCTGCCAACACAATCTAGAAAATTTAAAAGCTAATATCGATGCCACGTGCCCTCGTGGGAAACCGTCCGTCTGTGGGGGAGAGATCTACTGTTGCCGCGCCCCACAGCTTTCGCTCGAAGTCTCGCGAGGGCCGGTGGCTTCCGACGGCTGTGATGTGACGACGCTGAAGGAGGATTCCAAAACTCGCCGACATCACATGGTGCCACGTGGCCGGAAGCCAGTGGCTTGGACGGTCACCCCCAACGTCGCACGTGGCGGGAAGCTAGTGGTTCGGACGGTCGACGACGTTCCACCAGCTCAAAACAAAAAAGAACAAAATTGAAAAGAAATAAAATAAATTTATCAAGACCTTGTCATTTTTTTTTTTCATTTTCGACCCTTTTCCCCATCCTTTTTTTTTTCCTTTTTTTATTGTCGTTTTCGGTGTCGCAAATGGCAGGCATTCGACCCCCCCCCTCCTACCTTGATGCGTTTGGCGATCATGTTAGGTAAGCACAATTATTAAGGATTCTGTGAGCAAATCGAAACGTTTAGGATGGTATTCGCTTCGAGCTCGAAACGGGTCGTGGATTAAACAATATTCTTGGTTTTTCGCAATTAAAAACGAGACGGGTTCGAAAAATAGTTGAGAGGAGTTTTCAAGCCGCGGTTCAAGATGGGGCTATCCCGTACGTGGGCGAAACACCTTAGAGTCGAAAAGGCTCGGCGATGCTGTCGTGGACAGTGCAAAGTCGGATAATTGGATCGGATCGTGTATTATAATGATGCGTGTTAATAAATTGATAACAACATAATCGAATTCTCATCGAAATGTTTTTCTTCATGGAACGTATATAAAAGCCACTGGGGTGAGCAACGGAACGGGACCGAACAAGTCGGTTCCGGGCGATTCCCAGTTCCTAAAATTTCGAACTAGTAATTATTAATCCGGTTCCCAATTTTATGTGTGGGATCGAACCATTCGAATCGGATCGATACAGTGATACTTGATTACATTTTATTACATTTTTAGTGTCTTTTCCCCTAGATTTTAGAATCAAACGGGTTGATTACCGGTTTCATATCAAATTGAAAATCGATCGATCCTAGAACTAGGGGTGTGCAAAAAACCCAGGACCGCCCGGGACCGGACCGGAACCGGTGGTTCCCAAGGGAACTGGTTCGGTTCCCGGTTCCAATTTTTTGGAACCAGTGGTTATCGGTCCGGTTCCCGGTTCCCGGTGTGGAACCGTCCACCCAGACCGGATCGGTAATATAATAATAATATATTTATTTTTTAAATTTTTAATTAAAAAAATCTGACAAAAAAAATTTTAAAAAGAAAAAAGAAAAACGTAACTAGACACTCATAACTCTCTGCTCTCTTATCTCTGGACACTCATTTGATGGATACCCACTTGATTTATGGATGATGTGGTTAATAGAACCGATCATAGTATATGAATTGTATGGAAAGTTATGTTCTTTTCTTTTTGTTCCGTTGATCCGATGTTGGTCCACATATTTTTTTTTTTATTTGTCCAGGAAAACTTGATGGGATCGGTTCCATGGACCCGCCCGAGAACCGGACCGGACCGGACGGGCGGTCCGGTTCCCGGGTGGGTCCATGGAACCGACGGACGGTCCTCGATTCCAAAATTGAGGACCAATACTGTGCGGGTTGGTCCTAGGGTTAGGGGGTGGACCAGCCCAATTCGGACCATGCTCACCCCTACCTAGAACCGATTATCTCCTAGGTGCCACGTGAATTTGCGTTGTCGTGTCCTAAACGGGAATGCCCCCCCACTCGAGGAACAAACTTACCCGAAAACTTGGAAAAAAACTCTGCCCTAGTTGCCCGAACCATTCACGCAAAAGTGGGGACCCGCCTTCGAGTGACAAGTGTCCCGTAGCAAGGACAAAGCTGGAAATTCACGTGCTGCGATCGTCGTGGATCCGTTGCGCATGCCGCTGATTCTCGATCCTCGCGAGTCCTTTCGCTTTCACCAGATCGAACGGTCAAAAAAGGGCGGTCGATTTCCGCAGGGCCGTTGGATTCCGGCAGCATCCACGTCCCAATTATTTGTTGCCTCTTTTTTTTTTTAAAAAAATTTTCTTTTCTGGTTTGATTTTCTGTGGCTGTGATTCTATTACCGTTGCCGGCAGTACTATGTGCCGACACTTGATCGGGGTACATCAACACTGAAAAAACGTGCGATTTCGAACGAAATTCTCGATGCCTCGGAAACCGAACCGTTAGATCTTACATTCTTCCCCCCGTGCTAATCCAAATTTCGTTAAATAGAAGATATCATTTTGTAAGTGTTAAAGATCATTTAGGTTCGCGTAAAGAGAAAATTGTGCAGTTACTACGACATGTCCCCTGATGAGATATGTGAGATCATTTCGATTGGTAACGAAAGAGTTTAAAACGGTTAGTATTTTAATTCTCCAATTGGGTTGAAAGTATATTTAGCAAGGGATCACTGTTTTAATTAGATTAAATTTGACAAAATTGAGATATCACCTGTGATGCTTATTTTACTTCCATTTATGTCACGGATACACGAGAAAAACATATATGAGACTACTTTGGAGACATATAAGGAAATTAAATTCTAATGCTGATTAAATAAAGGGTATGTATTACAAACTAATGGGATATACGTGAAATCATGTCTCGTACGTTAGAACTTACTAATGTGTTGGATATTTGAACGACATGAAACCATTAGTTTGAATCACATTGCACAAAACACCGCAAGAAACACACACACAAAAAACTCGCTTGCAAAGGTCCTCGTTCAACCCGGAATTGGCCAGAACCGATTGGTTAACATCGCGTTTTCGAATGAACCGAGTAGGTATATTGGTGAAAATCATACGAACGATTAAATCAACCGCTTTTGATTCCCGAATACAACCGATTTATAATCGGTTTTGATCTTATTTAAAAGTTTATATAGAAGCCGCAACAAAAGAAATGCGATCTTGGATGGCTCGAAAGGTCTTGAAAGCGCTTCAACCATTTTGCCAAAGGAAGCTAATACATTAATAATACCCAAAATTAATTCAATGTATCTTGAAAATGAAAAAAAAAAAAACTCGCAAACAATTTCCGGGTCTACCCGGTTCAATTCCAAGCCCGTTCCCAAGCGTACTAATTCGGTTCCAAGTTTGAAAAAATTGGAACATGCCCTGATTGGGTAGATTTTAGGTTCTCGGTCGAGGAACCGACTTAGTCTGGAATCAATCACTCCACTTATCTTAGCGACACGCGTATACTCCCATCCCTTTTGTAATTACAAGGAAACAAGCACAAGCATAAAACTAGATCAATGATTGTCCCCATCTTTTTTTTATCTTTCTGCAAATGCCAAAAACATTGTGACCATAGCCAGCAAACGGCTACTTTTTCAGTTTTCACCAACCCTTCCAAAACCATTGACCTAAAAAACACACACTTCCCTTAAGCCTGAAGAAACTCACAAAAGGAAAAGAAAAAGAAATCACCATCTGATCAGGAAAAAAGCCATCACACAATCACATTGCCCAACTTGTCGTTCACAAGAAAACAAACACCCCCAATCCCATGCCCTTCACAGTAAATCAGCAGCTCCCATTTCAATGATTCTGATTTTGATGCATGGATGCACCACCACATGGCCCCCAACACAACCAAATTCCATGGATGATTCAAGGAGCTTCCAAATAAACAACCCTTCTGCATTAAAAAAACAGAGAGAGAGAGAGCACATGACACACTCTGTAGAGGATAAGAACAAGCCTGCAGGGCCAACCACAGCCTGTCAGCATCCCCTTGCCCTTTCCAGGACAATCCCTCCAGAATCTATCATCAGCGCCTAAATTTGAAAGAAAAGGAACATGCTAGAGCTAGACCGTTATGGCGATTAGGTCGATTCAATTTGACATTTCGAGGCCCTATCTCGAACTTAGTAGCCAAGCCCGATGACCCACTTTTTCTTTAGGACACCAGTGACTCACACAATGCAATAGCAGAGGATTCGGAAGCTTAGAAATTCAAGGTTAGGTTTTCCCTAGATAGGAGCTACTCTATCTCTGCAACATGCGGGAATAACTTAACTTGAGCAAAATAATCACGTGTTAAGAAACATTACAGATCAATGCGTTCTATTATACAGTTAGAATTAGTTCGATTCATCCTTACACGGAGATGAATTATTACACGTTTTTGAAAATAACCAGACACTTGCAAATGAAAATGTCGGTGGCAGTATCCACAGTGTGGTAAAGAATTCAGAAAAGAACCACAAGAGGATACCAAGTGCGCAGGGAAAACTAAGGTAAGCTTATCAAGAAAACAATTTTAGACAATAATCGAGCAAAAAAACATGAAACACAATGGAAGAAAAAGAATCGTTGTCCCCACTCGCCACCGTCTGTCGGGCACAGAGAAAAGAAATGGAGCTCGGCCATCTATAAAACCACCTTTGTCATCCTCTCTGCCACAACTTTATCTTTAGACAGAGAGAGAGAGAGAGAGAGAGAGAGCGCTCAGTCCTCGAAACAGAGAAAACAGAGAGCACAGAAGTAGAAGGTAATGGAGGGCAAAGAAGAAGACGTGAGAGAGGGAGCCAACAAGTTCCCGGAGAGGCAGCCCATTGGGACGTCCGCGCAGACGTACAAGGACTACAAGGAGCCACCCCCTGCACCGTTGTTTGAGCCCGGGGAGCTTTCGTCATGGTCCTTCTACAGGGCTGGGATTGCAGAGTTCATGGCCACTTTCTTGTTCCTCTACATCACCATCCTCACCGTCATGGGCGTCGTCAAGAGCCCCTCCAAGTGCACCACCGTGGGCATCCAGGGCATTGCCTGGGCCTTCGGGGGCATGATCTTCGCCCTCGTCTACTGCACTGCTGGTATCTCTGGTGAGTCAGGAGTGTGTGTTGGAGTGAGCTTGCTGGGTTTACTTTGCTCACTGCCTCTGTGTCTCTGTTTTGTTTTTTCTTGCTTGGAGATGTTTAGGATTTGTCTGGGAGGGAGTGAGAAGGGAAAAGGAAAGAACTTTGCCAAATGTCTTTCTGGGAACTTCACATTCACATGCATGGTTTTGTTTCTGTCGTTCTGGGGGTTAGTTTAGACTTGTTTTTCCTTCAGAAGATGCAATTTTCGCCATTTTTGTCTCGCTTTTCTTGCTTGCTAGAGCCTTTATTGTTTTCCTGCTTCCCGCAGCTTGAGAATGTTGAAGTACTTTAGGCATCAGTTTTTCAAAAACTGCCTGGTAATTTAGGGGGATGATTTCATGCAAGATCACTTGCTATATCAGCCGTAACTATCACTTAAAATAGCATAGATGGCTCTCACAGGTTACATTTTAATCACTACTCGAGTGACTTTAAGGAGTAAAAAAAGTTTCTTTTTCTTTGCCATGCTTTTACTATAATGGCTCGTCTCCTCATGGACTACCCCATCTCCCTTCCCATGACTGACAGGTGTGTTCTGGTTTCTTGAACTTCAGGTGGACACATCAACCCTGCAGTGACCTTTGGGCTGTTCCTGGCCAGGAAGCTGTCCCTGACCAGGGCAGTGTTCTACATGATCATGCAGTGCCTTGGGGCCATCTGTGGTGCTGGGGTGGTGAAGGGCTTCATGGGCCACAGGCAGTATGAGCTTCTGGGTGGTGGCGCCAACTTTGTGAGCCCTGGCTACACCAAGGGTGATGGCCTCGGTGCCGAAATTGTGGGCACTTTTGTCCTGGTCTACACTGTGTTCTCTGCCACTGATGCCAAGAGGAGTGCCAGAGACTCTCATGTCCCTGTATGTGCACACTCTGTCCTCTTCTTCCCTCTGGTGGTGTTCTTGATGTTTCTGGTGCTTTTTTTTTGTTTGGTTTAACTCGCTTTTGATTCCTTGTTCATGAAGTGGTTTGATTTAGTGGGATGCTTAGATTTGCTGCTTGTTGTTTGATCTATGAAGGGGTAAAAGGAGTTTACACAGTTTGGACCTTGGATATTTGCTTATCAAGGGCAATTAAAATTGATGAATTTTGAGGAGGAAATTCTTAGTGAGTCGAGAAGTGGTTAAGAAATATTGATCATTGAGGTAGGCATGAAAGGAAAAGTTTACTGTTATCTCGAGGTAAGCGCATATTTGGCATAATCTGAGTGCTGTGATTTGTTGAGTTGGAAGTATCATTCCACTTCCATAAACTAAAGTTGGGGGCATAAGAAAAAGAAGCTATGGTTGATGGAGTTGTTCGATTTTAATGTGTTGCCTTTTTCTAAAGACTTCTGGATTTAGATCAAATAGGGCCTGTATCATCATGCACATTCTAGAATTTGGTAAAAGTAGTGTTCTCATAGTACCAAAAAATAGTAGTAACTAGACTGCTCATTTATGATGCTAGAATACTCCTAATTCGGTTTGAAAACCGACATCTGAAGTAGACATCACTGAGAAAGCAAATGGCGTGCAAAGAATGTTTAGCATAATCTGCTTATTTCGAACCAATGGCACGAAAAAACAGAAATCCCTGCTGTGGTGTACTTGAAAGATATTAAATAGCTCTAGGTTGATCTCATTGTTTTTTGGGCATTCATATTGCAGATCTTGGCTCCTCTTCCAATTGGATTTGCAGTGTTCTTGGTTCATTTGGCCACGATCCCCATCACTGGAACCGGCATTAACCCGGCAAGGAGTCTTGGAGCCGCCATCATCTTCGACAAGGACCATGCCTGGGATGACCAAGTAAGCTCCTTATTTTTTTTTCAAAAAAAAAAATAATTCTCTTGGTTGATAATCAGACTAACTCTGAGATGAATTTGGTAATTACCAGTGGATCTTCTGGGTTGGACCATTCATTGGAGCTGCACTAGCTGCTGTCTACCACCAGATAATCATCAGAGCAATCCCCTTCAAAGCCAGGACCTGAAGCGCTCATTAGCATCTTTTGCTTCTCTCTCCTTTCACTTGAGGCTTTGTTTTCTCTAATGTTTGGACTCTTTTCAATCTTTATGATGTAAATTATCAAATTATGATGGCACGACGAGTTTGTGAATGCTTCCTTATGAATGGACTATCCTCTTCTTTTCCCCCCACCTTTCCAATCTTTCATGGTTGGAGCAATTTTTTTCTTTTTAAGTTCCATACTGTAGTGATTAAAAAGTTGCCTGCAGAAACAGAAACTACTTAAAAGGTCCTCATAACACAAGCAGCTAAGATTACAGCAATCACGACAGATGGATCATTCAAATTCAACAATCTCTTGTAGACGTTTTTTCTCACGGCAAACTAGTCAGAAACACCACAGATATCGTTACCCTCTTGCGGAGGCTCTATTTGACGTGGATAGCAGCCCAAGAAAAAGAACAGGAATCTGAATTTTGTCCAATACATTTGGCTTTAGATAAACTAAGACGATACGAGACTATTTCAGTAGAATTTGTCACCATGAAAGAGCTGGCAACAGGCCTAGCCACCAAATTTATAATTGCTTTTACGGCATCAAGTAAAAAGATTTCAAGAACGGGATCACATGGCATTCCTTCTTCACTTGAGCAACATCATACCAAGACAAATAAAGAACCAGAGAACGTATCTTTGGTAGGATCCACAAACCCATTTTGATATCACTGGAGGAGTGCAGCAGCAGACGAAATCACATAAAAAATGGGAAGTAATGACTGACATTTCACACGAGATATGGAGCTTGACAGATGCACGAAATGTTGTAGGCTACCCGAATTAAATCATACGACTTATAAGAATGTACTGCAACTGCGAAGATGGATAAGCACTTACTGTTTGTAAAGCTAAGCACCTAACTTGCGAAGACGGCTTGCTTTCAATCAGACTAAAAGGTGATGTGCACGAATTTAACCTCAAATCAAAACAAAGGAAAAATCAAAGAATTTGGAGGGTAAGGACTCTACTCACTTTTGAGTTACTACTATTCAGGGACCGAAAACGTGAAATAGACAGGCACATGGATGGTCCCGGCCTAAAGTCGAGCTTGAGCTGTACCTAAAGTTGGGCAGCTCTTTTAATGCTCACTGCTTTAACACCCCACATGCAGGAACACCTAACACTCACGGCAGATGGATCGTTCAAAATTCAACGATCTCTTGGAGATGTTCTCTTCCTCACGGCAACATGTACACCACAGATATCATTCCACTCCCATCCCATCTGACATGTATCAGCATGGAGCTTGTACTGCAGCGCAAGGAAAAGAACGTGAATTTCTTTCTAATTTCTCCACTGCATTTAGCTTGATTCGCGACTTCGTGGATAAGACCATGATCATACAAGACTTTTTCAGTAAAAGTTACCACCATGATGGAGCTGGCAACAGGCCTATTAAACAAATTTATAATTGCTTTTATGGCATGAAAGTAAAAAGATTTCAAGAATGCGATCACATAGCAATACTTCTTCACCAGAGCAACGTCATACGCAGAACAAAAATAACACGAGAAAATATAATTGGTAGGATCCACCACAATAAATCTCCAGAGGACTGCAGCAGCATACGAAATCACATAAAAAATGGGAAGTAAGTAATGAACAGACATTTCACTAAAGATACGAGGCTTGACCGATGCACGAAGTATTGTGCTATAAGAGCCGAACAAATAGGCGGCAACCGGGTGTGAGATGTGAGATGTAATCCTACTCTCTCCCTCGCTCTCCCCGTCATTTGAAGAATGAAAACCTCAACTCGATCAAAGAACTAAAATTCACGATGAATGGGTTTCATCACACAGGAGGTCTTCACATCCGCTAAATCCTCTCCATCTTCTCATTAGTTCTTCATTACAAACAAAATGCTAGGAAAAGGTCAGATTGGAGTAAACAAGACAAATGAAGCAAGAATCTGAACCTCTAAGATATTCATCTTCTTGCTCATGGTTTTAAATCTTTTGACTTAGGAAAATGAACCGCAACTGCAAATGACAGGAAACAAGTATCTAAATTCAACTGACTACATCTCATTCTGCTACAATTTCTTGCTTGGGGAAGAACCAACATAAATATTTACAAAAGAATCAGTTACAATGTATTTCACAACACAATGCTATTCGCAGACCGTGCCGACAATCTAATAATCCACATTAGTTTTTTGGGATCAAAATCCTCTTACTGAACTCTGCCAAACCTCAATAGACTGCTGATCCTTCCTGGTGACGAACATCTTGTTCCCCCCAAAAGCCAAGTTGGTTATCTTAGCTCCTCCCATATCTTTTGTTCTTCCTATTAAGTTCTTCCTGAATACCCTCTCTCCTAAACCGTCGTCGCTTTTCTTCCGAGAGCTGATCAGCACCTCTGACCACAACTCTATATCGCCCTTTTTAGTACAAAAGACCTGATTCCCATGACTCTCAATTTTACACCCAACTCCTTCTTTCTTTCCATTTAGTAATTTTCTCCTATCTCCAAGACAAACCCAAGACTTCTCATCATCCAAGTTCCTCAAATCCACATAAAACACCTCGCCTGAATTCACACCAATCTTAAACATGGCAGATAGATTATCCGACACTGCAACATCGGAAAAGCAGTCAACTTTATCCTTCACCTCCCAAACTATGCTCCCCGTCCTTATATCCCACAATCTGATATTGCCCGATACACCCGATGGCCCGCCATGAGACCCGGATGCCATCAAGAGATTATAACTTGGAATCCACTTCAATTTCGTTGCTGGAATAGCTGAATCAAGATCAGCACCGAAAATCTCATTATGACCGATCTCCGCGACTGGGCTCAAGCTCTGCAAGTCATAAACCAAGATCGAATTCGAGTTCCTCCGACCAGATTCAAAGCTAGCAAATAAGTACTCGCCCGACGAACCAATCGCTTGCACAGTGGAACCAGACCTAGTCACGTTCTCCCAATTCAAAGTCTCTCTAACAGACCCATTCTCAAGATCGAGTATTTGCAAACCTGAAAAGTCGGTGGCGCCAGCCGCGGCTACAGCCGGCGAGATGGGCAGCAGCGAGTCGACGGCGGTGAATTGAGTCAGGATAGTCTTCTTCCTCCCCAAACACCAATCGAACGAGGTGATTTTGCTCCCGTGCGCGACGTGGAGGGACCCGAACGGCGTGGCGGCGATCGCCGACGGCGTGTCGCGGCCATTCAGCGGCAAGGCCAGCGATTTCTCGAGGTTGAAGGCTTCGAACTGAGACGGGTTCGACGCGGAACTGACCAAAAGGGACTCGACCCCATAGAACTGGGATTCGGAGACCACGTCCTGAAGATCAAAGGCCTTAGCTTTCGACGGCAGGTTGCCGGTCCTGAGGAGGGACAAGACGACGGAGAACAATTCGGGGTCTCGGTCGACGAAATGCTCGCCGGGGTGAGCCAATTGGGACTTGGCGACGGCGGAGAGGATCGATTCGGGGCCGGCGAGGGCGAGGGTCTGCCTGGTGGTCTGGAAAATCTGGCCACCCACGTTGATGGTCACCACGTTGGTGTCCGCCTTCGCAGGATGCAACCCATTGGGAAGCGCGGTGGGGCACGAGAAAGGCGGCATCTTTAAACCCCGGGAATTTGCGAAGCTCCGAGAATTCGATGGCGATCTGTCGCGAAATCAAGAAACCCTAGGACAGGACACCAAGAAAGATTGACCCCTCAGGAACAGGGAAGATGGGAGTGGAACATATATAAGAGGGGAGGAGGGGGTTAACAAACAGAAGTTGGTCAAGAAAACCGACAAGATGCAGGTGAGAGATAGCAGAAAATGGGGTCAAACTTGGGGTCGGTTGAGGGGTGTCCACTGTCCAGAAGGTCAAAGAGGGGTGTTTTGCAGAAAGGAAGAGGATAAATTCATCACGTGGGGGACGAGCGCCGGGAGCCTCGAATCGCAACATCTTGTCGTGCATTGAGTTCGATGTCTGTCGAAAGTTGACCCGTCCTTCCAAACGAAAATTCGAGACCGTGCTTGCTTGAGCCCGTGCGAAGCGCGAGCGAGTAAATTAACGAATAGGATCTTGCTAACGGACCGTTTCTATGGCACTTGTTTAAACTATATTTTATCCGGGATATTTCGATTTTCAAGGTATCGGTGGCGCATGGTTTGAAATCGACCGGCGCGTTGAAAATCATAAAGTTTGTCGGGGCCATTAAAAAAATTGCAGCAGTGAATCATATCTCGTTTCTTTCTTGGACAGGAGAGAGAGAGAGAGAGAGAGAGAGAGAGAGGAGAAAGATTGGTTGTGTGCATTGGCTGGGTCAACAAACGTGGTTGCGAAAGCCGTCCAATTTGCACCACTGTTTTGAATGTTCGGTCTCTTTCCCCTTCCTTCCAACCTTCCTAGCAGAGCCCGCCCCTGGTCTAAAGGCATTGCGACAAGGACGAATCGTTTCGAGTGGTTTCTTCTGGGGGGGTTGGTTTGGACCGTTTGGTTACACAAACAAGATTAAAAACGAGGGGATCTTCCAGAGTTGTTTACATTCGATTGAGTGAATCTAGACGATTGACGGTGTGGATCGAGACATGGGTCTATGCAAGAGCTTCTCGGTAGAGAGAAGGATTCGAGGTCTTTTATGGCCAGAACATTTCGAATGTGATATCGCCCCCGGCTGCATACTTGGACCGAGATCGTAGATTCATTAGATATCTGCAATTGCTGTCATCTTCCAGATTTCAGAAACCTAAATCAACCCAGCGCAGAGCTGCCCGCCTTATGCGAACCGGGCAATGTCGTGGAGGATGCCAAGACAACCGCATAGCGGATTCTTTCATCCACGAAGCGAATTTTGTTTACAAAACTAAAAGCCACCTTCATCAAGTTTCGTATCTAAATCAGCAATTTAAGAAGATCCTTACCGTCGCGTTTAGTCAATCATCAGACTGCGATGAACACATAGATGTGGAACGGAAGATCTATTTAAACATTCTCCTTTGACACCGTACACTGCAGTCACATTGATGATCATACCGGCCGAATGAAGTCGCCGTAAATGAATGGGATGGCACGATATTCTAGTAGAGTAGAAGTGGAAACCGACTTGAGATTTCGAAGGAATACTCAAAATAGAGACAGACCATAGGTCTTTCAAAATCTCAGGGTTCAACCCTCCTTCAATCCCTCTTTTAACAGATGTGTTACAAGAACTTGAAAATAACCAGCATCAAAATCTCATTATTCATACTATTTTACACCACGACAACTGAATACGATGATGAGATTGAGCCTTGAGATGCCTGGGAAATACCAATAACTTTTCCTGTCTGAACTTTACAAGTGAGGGAAAGACTGTTCTATTCTAGTCCTAACAAAAGTTCATGGGTGACCCTGTTTACTCAAAAACAGATACGGGTCAACATGCATTGGTCCTTCCTATTAATTTCCAAATTCTTCCGACTTGAAGAAAGTAGTATATTGTTAGTTTATAGATGGTCTGTCAGACACTAAAAATTCACCCACCTGAGCTTTTAGACTTAGTATGGTCTGGGCAAAGACTCAACCAACAACAGAGTGCAAAAGCAAGCACTGCCGATTAGCTGACACCTGGCTGTATCACTGGGAAGGACCAGTTTCCACTCTCCTCAACAACCGTTTCGCCAGTCCACCAAGCCAAGCCAAAGTCGGGCCTATGAGCGTCTCTCCCATCGGCATTAGCGAATTTGAATTCTCTAGAAGACCCTGATGTGATAGAACCATGCCTATGATGTTGCCATTTCTCATTGTCACCTAAGGCAGCTCCCTCTTGTTCGTTACTGGATGTTGCACCTGAAGTGCCCTCATTCCTGTCTTTAAGTTCACAACAGATACTCTCTCTCTCAGCAGCTGCATTATTTGCACAAGTGATCGCGCTTCCTGCCGAAGCAATAAGCTTGCCATCCCCGTGGCTCACATCTTCTGTAGGTATCTCGAATGATACTCTGTTGTTGACCGTTGAATTGCCATTTTGGCGTTTGTTGACAGATGGATGTGTTGCGACCTTGAAATCTGAAGGGTATCCTTCTACATATTTGGTTCTCACAGAATCAGGAGTCAATGAACCAGAATCTCGCCTTGATCCCCATTCGTGGGTGCACAACTTATCAAGGTTCAAGAGCTTGGGAGGCTCACTGGATCGGAACTCTAGGACATTGAGACCACCAGCAAACTCACAACCAGGAAAAGGAGACGAAGTGCCCGAGCCCGAGATGCCAGAGCTGGGAGAAATCAAGTGGCCGACAGGGCTTCCAGGAGAAAACTGATATGACTGAAATTCATAGTTAGGGAACAGAAACCCTTGACAGGTCCCAGAGTTCCGTAGGTTGGGGTCTAGCAGCTGGGCAAATGGCACCTCTGGTGATGAGGGCGTAGTCAGATGCACAGACTCGGGAGGGGGGGTGAAGGGAGCAGTAGACGGCTCGGTTGTAAATGTTGAGAAAACAGGCGGAGATACTAACTGGGTTTCATGGGCATAGGGTCCAATAGCAAATATGGAGCGAGGTCCACTGGGGGAATACATACTTGCCGATATGGATGTCATCGAAAACACACCGGCTGGAGATTGGGCAGCTGAAGGAGGTTCGGATTGAAGGAATGATGCTGGAGAGGAGGGCGGTGCCACAAATGGAAGTGTTATAGCAGTTGGTTGCGCCAGATTATGAGTAGCCGGAGCATCGCCGGTGGAACCCATTGTCTCAGGAAGAAGAACAGCAGGCCCAATACGCTTCTGGTGCTTCTGAGACCCAAAGCACCAATACAAGCTCCAAAAAGCACCCCATCTTTTCTTCTGCTTTCGAAGAACAAATAGAAACGTCTTAGCAAGGAAAGTGCCACACACCTCTGCAGTAGCATATGCTTAATTATATAAGGGAAAAAGGTCATGACAACTCAACAAAGATGTTGGCATACAAAAGCTATGATTGTTGGCACTTTACAGTACATGTGATCATGCATAAATTGGTATGATAAACTGAAAATCATAACCAGCACAAGCCATGTCAAAGCAGAACAGGTATGCCACTGAAAGTTTCGTAATTTCTCGAACCTCATAGTGGTTAATTGCCGAAACAACATGATAATTTCATCATTACTGAAGGGAGGATCCAGCACAGCATGTTAGGAACTTATACACTCGGCAACTTGCTCGGGCTTGAATCCGCCTGCCCTTACTAATATTAGAACTCAGTACTCGTCTTTTACTTTTCACTGCTGCAGAGCAAGATACAAACATATCACAGGCTCTGAGCACATATTTCCATCAGAGAAGTGTTAATTAGTTAAGACTCTTTCGGTCCAAGGCTATTTCGCACATCTTCAATCCCAGTTCTAACTCGACCGCACGACACATGAGGAACCCGTGAAGCAGAAACGAGAGGAGAAAAAAAAAGGGCAGGAGGAAGGAAAGTACCGAGTTGAACAAAAACACGAACCATTTCCAACCCAAAAAAATATTCAGAAAATGCAGGTCCCAGAGCCCGAACTCCATCCCCTATCATATCCAAAACCAAGAACCTGACCATTACAAAGACGAATTCCGCTACCACAGTCATCTACATCAGAGCATTCATCCTGTTCAAATTTCTCAGAACTTCAAATGACACCATCAAATCCCAATCTCTCACTCTAAATTCAAACATCAAGCCCAGCCCCCCCCCCCCCCACCCTGTACTTTTGAGTTGAATTTCTCTCCAGCAATTATCTCCTTCACCTTTTCGTTTTTAATCTTTTTGATCAAACCAGAGACAAAAAGAAGCAGATCGAACCTTTAGGAAAAACTGCCATCAAAGACCACTTTTTTTGGCTCCTCCTAATGATTACTACTAGCGAACCTTTTTTAACCCATCTTTTGCTCAGAGCCAAGTGCCTACATCGAAAAAAAGCAGCCCCGCCGCCTATTTCGCACCGGAAACTCATCCCAACTTCCACTTCGCTTCACGAGGCGCTAGCAGAACGAACGAAAATCCAACCCAAAACACGCAAGATCAATCGAAACACCAAAAAACTCGGACTTCCCTCAGCATCACTCCCCGATCCGACCCGAAAAAAACACAAATCACCCAGCGAGCTCCATCGATCAGCGACCAAAACACAGTGAAAACACAGAGCGAGAGAGACAGAGAGACGGCACGCGCGTATCAGTAACACGAGCCCCCGTCGAGGAGCAGCTCGAGCTCACCTGAACCGCGGCTTGGGGGACGCGGTTCTCGGCGGAAGCGATCGCCGTCGCGGCGGCGTGTATGGTCTCCAGGGCGTCGCCGCGGCGGCGGCCGGCGCTCCCGGCGGCGGCGGCGGCCCCGCCCCTCGCTCCCCCGTGCCCGCTCCACATGCCCCTTCCTCGATGATCCCGACGACGAAAGCAAACGCAGCACCACAGCTCCACAGCTTCCGGCAGAAACCGCGCTATCGAGAGCAGCTGCTTCGTCCCCGCATGCGGAAGTCCGAGAAAAGGAAAAAAAGTTTTCCCGAGAAAATAACCGAACGCGAAGGGGGAGGCTCGGCTCGGCTCGGCTCGGCTCGGGCAGTAGTGGGTACTACGACGAGGAGCAAAATCGCGTGGAAAACGAAAATTAGCTCCCCGGTAAAAAAAAAAAAGGGTTAATACCACGAAAAACCCTAAATTAGTGCACTTGTGACAGATTTACCCCAAACTGTTTTTTTTATCATAAAAAACCCCAAACTGGTACATTTGTGACAATTTTACCCCGAACTATTTTTTTGACCACCAAAAACCCCAAACTGGTACACCTGTGACAATTTTACCCCGAACTATTTTTTTTGACCACCAAAAACCCCAAACTGGTACACCTGTGACAATTTTACCCCGAACTAATTTTTTAATAATATTATTTTTTTATTTTTCGAATTTTTTTAGTTTTTCTTTTCTTTTCTTTTTCTTTTCCTTTTCTTTTTTTTTTTTCCTTCATCTTCATTGGACCAACAATGGATTGTTATATTGTAATTGATACCACAATAACGTGACACGTAACATAAATGCTACATTTTGACCCAAAAAAAAAACATAAACGCTAAATGAAAGACTTTCTTTTATATGCATGAATTTTCATAACAACCACTTTTTTCTACATTTAAATGTCTCACGTTTTATTTATTATATATTTCAAGTGATCATATTGATTTATGAATCGCCATGCACATATAATATCTCTCATCTTATATATAAAATATACTAATTTTGTAAATTAATATGTTAAATTAAATTGGCAAGCAAGACGTATAGAAATTGTTGATTAGCTGTACTCCAAGCTTAGGTAACAAGCCTACGTTGGACCCCAACAGTTTGCCTATCCACTTGCACCCAAAAATAAGAAAGACACGACAACAATGTAATGCCTTTTTCGCGAGACATTTAAATGTAGAAAAAATAACATACCGTTTTTATTTTCCGATGTTGTACCGTAATGTTTTTGATTTTTCAATATATTATTACGAAAATGCCCATAGCCATGGGGGCCTTGCTGGAGTAGGGCCGCTAATATCATATACGCAGAATTCGACTCTCGTGCTTTACAAAAATCAGAAAGAGACGAGAGCTTGACATTATTACGAACGCACTGAAAATTATGTTGCTTTGTTTTTTTTTTTAATTTATTGGGTGTTTAATAAATATCTCATAAAGATTATATCATTGTGGAATTTTTAATATTATTATTGGGATGGGAACGCTTTTGGAGGTCAAACACGGCAATGACGTGAGTGCCCGATTGATTTTGTGGAAGACCCGGGACTTTTTCAGGCTTTCGACTTTCGAGCTCTGGGGAAATCGAGGCGATTAATTTATTTTAATTAACCCAATTAATTATGGCGCGGTGGGGCGGGTTTCCCAAAATGCCCCTACGGACAGGCAGTATTTTCGGCCCACGTGCAAAAAGAAAACTCGAAAAGAGCTGTATAGTTCCCACGGGTGATGTACGGGGCTATACGTAGGTGGACCTGAGAGTTAGTCACAGTGTTCGACGCTACGAGGAAGGTGACATAGGGTGACAGGCGAGTAGTTGATGGGAAGCTAAAACGGGTTCGGTTCGAATTAGGTGCGGCGACACCCCCGCACGGGCGGGGGTGTGGCGGCGGACGGTGTCGATACCCCCCAGTACGGAATTCGGGGCGTTCACGTCTCCCTTCTGTCGTGGCTGGTCAATCGACCGATCTTCGCATTGGCGAACTTTTAGCGTTGAATTAAATTTATTTTCTTTCCTCCCCCGAGGAGGTGTTCGATGGAAATTCTTATTTTGTCCCCACATCCCGAATTCCGTATTCGTGAATTACGCCGCCGTACGGTCGCGGTAGGCGAATGAATCTTCTCCTCCCTCCCCTTGCGACACTGCGCCCGGGCAAGCGAGCGGGCACGAAACGCACGGGAGAAACCCGCCGTGCTTTCATCAAACCATTTACATAACACGTGCGGCCGTGCGAGAGCCATGATGATACTTTGATATCCGTAGGTCGAAGGCTGTAGGAGGAGGATTGATGATGATGATGATGGGGTTTTTTTTTTTGTGGCTGCTCAACCATCCTAAGATGTAAAAACGAGGGTCGAGGAAGGGCAATCCCGTCACTCCGCGCGCCACGCAGTTCTCTCCGTTGGAGGGAAAAAGCTGGGGGTTGAAAAAAGAAGGGACAAAGACAAGGAGAGCGTGTGGGTGGGTGGGGTTGGCAGTTTGCCATCATGAATCGTGAAAGGCGTGCACGTGTGGCTCATCCCCCCACAACCACCCTTCTAGATGTCGATGGGGATTGGCTTGTCGCTTGTCGCTTGTCGCTCCCAACTCGATGATGGCTCGAGATAGACTCGTCCGATTTCGAGCGGAGCTCGAGCTCGGGTCCGTCGATGATCCTCGGTTCCATAAGTTCACGAGTTCGATCCCGACTTTTATTCTGGATTCGAGGTGTATAGCCTCGCCGTTCGAGCTCGTGTTCATTCCACGAGTACGTTGCGGTCGGGGAGCCGAGTTCGATCTCCCCGGCTTTCTAATCGAGGCGGGTTCGGGTCGAGCCGGAGCCGGAGCCCGGAAACCTGGCATCGGGCGCGCGAGCCGGGGCAGAAGCCCCGGAGCTTCTTTCACGCCGTGTCGGGGCTGGGCTCGGCTCGCCCCCGCGGCCCCGACCCGCACTGACGCCCCTCCTTTTCCATTCTTCCTTCTAATCTTTCGTGGAAGTCCCACTCATGGGTTTGACAAAAAAGGCTACCGGCTTCGCTTCCGCTAGTGCAATTTCGACGAAACATGTAGTGGGGGATAGGTCACATGTTTGGCCATAAAGGGGGCACATCATTCGTTAGCTTTCGCATGAAGTAGGATGATCCGCACGTGTGAATCCCCAAGATCTTTGGGTCCACCACCACCACCACCGCCACCACCAACGACGTCGACGCTTTCACACGCCTCCCCCGCAAGCTCTCGTTTTCCTCCGCGGGATGATCCTCGTGGAAATTTGAAAGCTGACGAAGTTGCATGGAAATTTCGAGGTCCTTGTTTTTCCCGGTGGAAAGTAGTAGGGCCACAGCACGCAAGATCCGCAGGCACGACACGAGCGAAGCTCTTTTAACTTTTAGATCCGACCTCAATCCTGTAACGAACCTTCCTTTCGGGTCCGAAAGAAATCGCGGGCTTTCACTTTTACTCTTAAATCTGGCCTCGGTCCAAGAATGGCCACCGGTTAGTTTCTTCAAAACTATCAATATCGGGAGGCCGTCGCTGCTGTTCCGGGCGAAGGGTTGGGGGTGCCAGTGAAGACGCGGGTTGTGATAACGGACCTCTAACTGGCCCCGATAGTTTCGAAGAAATCAGCGGCGAATTTTCGGGCGCCGGGACGGATTCGGGACTATAGAGAAAGTCTGCGATTTTTTTTTTCGCGGCAAATAAAAATTCGGGACCAAAATCGGGATTGGACCTACAGTTGACGGTTTCTTCGGAAATTTAGCCCGTATTTCGCTTTTAGACAATGCAAAGTACCAATTCGAAGAGAGAGAGAGAGAGAGACAAATAAAACTCAAATTTCAAAGAGGACAAATAGGACCAGAGATTCTATGGAGCACGTAAAGAAAAATGGCCTTTTATCTGCAGCTGATGCTAACTTTGAACCTAAAGATTAGGTAAAATTGCTGTTCCCGCATCATCCCCGCACTGTATTCATAGTCAAAAACCATATGACATTCCGCCGTCGGAAACGGCGGCGCTTTTTGCGTTACGACATTTCATGGTTCGACGACGATAGTGTTTCCAACTCCTTTTGTGCACGCTTGTCCTTAAGCCTTGGGGGCGCGCATCATCGAACCGAATCGATCGAAGGTATGAGTTAAATATTGCGGATTCGTATACTTTTAGAGCGAGGTCCGGTCTTAAAGGTTTGAATTTGAATTGGAATTGGGAGAGCGTACATCGCTCATCACGTAAGCGTCGAATTTATGAAGAGAGGTATTCTATAAATCTTTTCAAGATATTTAAAAAGGGAAAACGACACGAAGAGTCATTGGCATGACGTGCAATGTGGTCCGTGAATTGTGTAGTCCTTCAATTAATTCAAGTTCAGGGACTATATTTAACATTTTCATATAGTTCAGGGACTATATTGAACATGTACTAAAAATCCAGAAAGCACATTAAATAAATTAAAAGTTCATGGACTACATTAAACAAATTAAAAGTTGAGGAATTACATTATATATTAGATCAAAGTTTTAGGGAGAGTGTTTGTGTCGTTATTACTAATTAAAAAAAACTAAAGTTGGAAAAGAACTTTACGTCTTGGACCTGACCAGGTGTGGTCAGCAATTTGGACCGGTGAGATAAGGCCGAACCACATGGTGAATGGGGGTAACGTGCTCAACTTTGGCAATTTCTTTGGTGGAAAACAAAAAGGTTAGTATACCTACATTGCTGCTTCGTGGAATGATCTCAATTTCCCCTCCTCCTTTTTTTTTTATCGAGTTGGGTGTGTGGGGACCCCAATCGTATGGAGACAATCCGCACGCTCGATGAATCGGTACACCGTCGCGACACACTCGAGCGGGCCAGACGAGATATTCACCGAGCTCCGGAAGAGATTGAGATTGAGGAGGGGCCCACCAATCTACCGTCGGCTCTGATACCATTTGTTGGGTACGCGCAACAGAAGCTCGATACATTAATCGGGGGAGATTGTCAAGAGGGAGTCCAAATCCGAATCCGTCAGCATATCTAGTTAGATCTATCTCCACTCAAAACTTCAAGCCAATAAGTTATAAGTCAACTACAATATATTAACTGCTTCACATCAGCTCACACGTGCTTCCCGATGTTTACCGGGGGGGAAGCAAGTGCGTATTCATTGGCCAATGTAGTCATTTGACTTCTCTTTTTTTTCCTGTTCTTTTGGGCGATTGCGCGCTGTGCTCAACCTCGGGCGCACGTACTTGTCAAACTTTTGCTTTTCCTCGTTGCGTATTCGGCAGGATTTGTCTCGTCCACGGACAGGGACGCTTCTCTCTCTGACCAATTCGCACGGGGAAACTGTAAAATGTCTCGCGCCATCATGAAGGGGACCACCTCGATTGAGCGCAAATTGCACACATCGCATTCTTCGAATTGACGATGGCTTTTGACTTGGCGGAATTCCACGAGCTTGGTGACCTACCCCATTTGTATTTTCCGGGGGGAAGAGTATTGGGCTCGGGCTCGGGCTCGGGCTCGGGTCGGAATTGGCTGGCCCGACGATGTCTTTGCTAATTAATTAGCGCGAGCGAGTCGACCCATTGGACCCGCCGGTCCGGCGGGTTCTTTTCGTTCTCGGCGACTTCGTCTCCACCGAAATAGGATGAACGAAATCAACTCCCATCTTGTAAATCACATTATCGACAAGAAAATTGTCCAAAAAAAAATCCTAAACCTATTGCACTTTTGCCAATTTAGTCATAAACCTTTTAATTTTGCCAATTGAATCATAAACATTTTGACGCTTTGTCGATTGAGTCTATCCGGCCAATTTTAACCAGGAAATCGTTGATGTGGATACCGGTAATACCACGTAAGACGACCGGCGCTAACGTGGAAAATTTTTAATAAATATTTTCAATATTTTATAATTTTCTTTTTCCTTTTTCTTTCTTTCTTTTCCTTTTTTTTTTCTATCAAGTCCGGTGAGGGCTGCAACAAGGCCTTCGCCTACGGGCTTGGAAGAAGAAGAAGAAAAAGAAAAGATAAGGAAGAAAAAATTTGAAAAAAAAATATTGTTAAAAATTATTCACGTCAGCATTGGCAATACTACGTAAACGTCGTCCACGTGGCCGGATAGACTCAATTAGCAAAAAAAGTTCATGACTCAATTAACAATTGAAAATTTTAAAATTGAATTGAATAAAACACAATGGATTTAGAACTTTTTGGACAACTTTCCCCATTATCAACTATCCTTGCGCCATGCACTTTGATTCTAAATGTCACACTTCTCACCGAGGCATCGCGCACAAAGCGGCTCGCAAGGTTCGCATGGAATGGTTGGAATGGTTTTTACCTACTTTTCGCTCTCGTATTGAGAATCAAAGTAGCGCATGGGTTACAACGAGAAAGATCCGCAACAACACATCGCATCAATTGCGCGTCGATGTCGAATTCGCCGGTCCTTGCGGGAATTCATCGAGCTTTAGAAGATGGGGCAAGATTAACTTTGAAAGAAAGTCTTCATGGGCTTCGTCAGACTACTTCCCTTCTACGTTACTCTTGAAGAAATCTGAAGCGGTCAAGAACGACCTCATTGTCCAATCGGAATTCAACCCTTTTGGACGTAGGGACTATGATCTTTACTTGCTCCGAAAGATATACTAATAAAACTTACCAGCACCAAATTTACTAAACCATTACCAACATAAATTACATGCATCATCGAATCAAGCCTCCCTTCCACATTCGGTGCTTCATATACTTGATGTACATTGCTTGCAAGCTCAGCAAATAATGCCGCAATTCATCACAATCATGTCCTCATAATGCAAAAGCAACAGTACCCAGGAGCAAAATCTGATAGCATATCACACCATGCTTGATTGAACTCACTTCTAAACCGTCTAGCGGGCGAACCGATGCAAATGCGAAGGAAAGAACTTGACAACCAGAAAGTTTCCACCTACTAGACCTTGTAGTTGTCGGCGCCGCGGAATGGTTTTGCGGCGACTTATGAGGAGGACGATATATTAAAGATGCAAGAGAGGAGAGAAAACAGGAGGAAGTTGCAGCACTGAATCAATACAACATGAAACATCCAGACAATAATTTACAAATCATCCATGGAAAATATAAGTTAGGAAGGGTAGGAAATTCTTTCCCCCATAGGCCTTCAGTTTTTTTTTTTGGTTTTTTGCCATTTTTTTTATGGGTTTCATTCTCCAGAAGCAGATAATCATGTACAGATGAAAACAATTTCTTTTTTCCTTCCAGTACGATACACGGTACCTAAGGATCGGCTTTGCCGGCAACCTCGTCGTCGCTCGAAGCATAGTCATCCTCGCTCAGCTCCTCGTCGCTCGATTTTTCCTCCCCAGCTGCGCCGACATCTTCGGGCTTGGCATATTTCTCACAGTACTCTGGTGACAGAAGATTTGGTAGAAAATATTCCGAAGGTAATATTAGTCATAAGCAACTCCAAGTTGTATGGAAGTACTAATCAAAATAGCAGCAATTGCTCAGCTGAAAAACGCTTCACAATCTTGTCAGTAAAGTTTCCAAAGGAAAGGAAGGGAACAAGCATGCTCGGAGACCCCAGTGCAATAGAAAGTTGCATGCTGCGTCCGGTGTCAAGAAGCCCCCACCCAAATAATAGAAATACAGCACGCAACCTATGTTCTGTCCGGACCAACAAAATTTTACATTTTTGTGGCAAAAGGAAAATGATATTTCCTAGCAATTCTAGACTTGATAACCGATAAAGTTCGCAAAATGCCAAAGGGACCAGCCCACATACAGGTGCTTTAAGCATTATCATCCTTTTGGGTTCACCAAATTATTCTACTCAAGGAAGGTTAATATTAAAACTTATGGAGGTTCTTATACAATTTGCATAATACATAAGCTCTGCCTAGAGTTCATGCCATATATGTCACATTATCTTCTGCTCAAGGTAAAATTTTTTCATCTCTTACAAATGAATCTTTCCCTCGACTATGTTGGCTTCATTTATCTCCATTAAACCTACAGGGACCAAAGAAATGTGGTCTAAAAAGTGTTAAATTCACCATCAATTTCTGTCCGACGGTTTTTCAACTGCAGATGTGAAGAAGATAATCATGAATGAATCAGTACTTTCTAGCCTCTCAGCAATCAACCATCTGCCTAGGTAAACAAGCCAGCGACCTTAACAAACCTCACTCATCTTTGATTTTGGTTAGTAAACATGAAGAAGACAGCGAATCATGTATTGCCTTTCAAACTCGTGTCCACAAATCCTCTATAAAACGTTAAGCAATCGAAAAAGCTGGAACTACACAAATGCAGTGATGCTTCAGTGTTGGGCCTTGGTACATTAGTTAGAGAAGTTCAAAAATCACTTTATTTCCTGGATACAGCTACAGAAGGTTGAGTTTTTGAGAACCAGATGCAAACCCTCGTAACCACGCACACGCCGTTCATGTTCAAAAGCAGAATAAATGAAAATAAAAGGTCAATGGAAATATCTCACTTATGAGGGCAAAAACAATCCAACAAAACAAATTGGTAAGAAGCCAACAACCAATGCTGAGGGACAAGGACTGATTGGTAGGTATTTGATGGAAAAGGGATTGGGAAAGATGCAACAAACACACCAACATCGACACCTTCCATCTTGCAAAACACTATGCACAATTAAAACCATAGGGAAAGACTGGGTAAAATATTCTCAAAAGCAGAACTATGTGCAGCTAGCATAAAACCTTGTGAAGCGTAATCGATCCCAACAGAGTTTTTGGAAGAAATAATGAGAAAACCCCAAAAAAGAAGGTACCATGAGATCAAAACAGACCCTGTGCACTACTAAAGAAAGATGTGGATGGAACATCATGCAGCCCCTAAAATGTCTAGCCTCGGAAGTTGGAGACCACTCAAATACCAAGCATTTGCTGCCTTGATCACAAATTGCTTACATCAAGCAGATAAGTTTGATTGCATCAAACCGGGACACTACACAATGTACTTCCAGTTAGCAAGTTCCTTTGCTCTTGAGTTTCTCTTCCTCAACATCTCAGGAACGAGAAATACATTGCCTACCCTATGACTGCGCACCAAAGACTACAGACAAGATTCCGAACATGCAATGTGAAAGAAGCAAGCTCGCCAACCACATTCGCACGAACCAACCAGGAAACAAGTATACAACTTTTGGATCGATTATCACCTTTCACTCTTTGTTCATATGCACCTTTATCACGCATCATAAGAGCAGCAGCTTCTCCATTTAATGGATCCGATGGGTTGGGATACAAAAGAAGTTGAGGAAGGAACACCTCAAACACGTTTACCAAATCTGGAACAAATTAAGGAACACAAACAGAAATGTTGATTTCTCCATAAAACAGCATTGGCAAGATGGTACAAAGGTCTGTGAAAAGGCAATAAACTGGTGGATGTGTCATACCAAACATGGGGCTCCAGGTCTGATTGATAACATCCAAACAAACAGAGCCTGACCTGAAACTCAAAATGGCTCTACATGTGTAAGATTGATGCAACAAATTCAGCTACAAACTTAGAGCTCAGAAGGTAAAGGCCATTGATCGTAATTCAAGTACATGAGCTACATTTTCAACTTTTCAATACACACTGACTCACATTTCATCGACATTCGGGTGATAAATTTTATTGACAAAGCCAATCGAAGGGGATTTATAAGGATAAGCATCTGGCAGCTCAACCCTTATCCTCCATAGACCTCCCTGGTAAGGACCTGCAAATGGCCAATTCAATGAACCCAAGCAAGTGCCTAAAACTGCAACCTACTTAAAAAGGAAAACCACTGACACTGATTACTAAACTTGCAGCTACTTACCCGAAAACAAACATGCCAGCTGACAAATCAAACAAGTAGATTTAGGAAAATGATTACATATAACAATTAATTATTGCCAAAAGTACCTAAATTTATTGCTCTACCATTCAAGAGAAGCTATACATGTAAAGTGCCAAAAACGGTTTCATCTGGGAGCCAAAAATGAAGAATACCACAACACATATTCCCTCAATAGGAGAACCCACTAGTCTTGTGGAAGGAGACCAAAAATTATCTGAAGACCGAAAATCCCCAAAATCACCTTTATTTCAGTAAACTAAAAAGCAGTCCAACCAAAAAAGATCATAATCTATCAGAACCCATCAAAATATTCCAGCAGAAGGAGCTAATCAAAGAGGTAAAATTAAGTGAATCACAAAATCAGAAGTGGGGTGTGGAAGATATACTGTCTTTGGGTCCATGGAACTCCACATAGAACTCTTGCATGCCATCATTGATCATCTCCACCTTGTAATCACTCATCATCCTACACAGCTCAAACCAAACAGAACCCAGAATCAACAACAGGCAGAGCAAGGCATACATAAATAAAACCAAAAAAAAAAAAGACAACCCACCAAACAAAAACTCAAGAAGAAAAAACAGAGGGTATAAAAAAATAAAGGATTACAGCTTCATCAAATCCATCTCACGGCGTTTGCTTGGAGAAGACATGGTTTCTTCCTCCCTGTTTTTTCCTTTTCCCTCCTGGCTTTTCTTTTCAACTCCTCCCTTGTGCGTCAGGATTTGGGCGAGAGGCTGAGGGAGATGAGTCTGTGGGGGGGAGGTGGGGGAAGAGAGAGATATGAGCAGAATTCCTCAAAAAGATGGTTCAGACAAGAAAGAGCAAAATTAGGTGGCCCCGTGTGGATTTGCATAATAAATATAATAATTATCATAATTATCATTATGATTGATGACGATGGAGTATATAAACATATGATCGGGTTAATATCACGAAACACTCCAAATTAGTATATTTGTGATAATTTTATCCCGAACTAATTTTTTGATCAACAAAAATTCCAAACTGGTACATCTGTGATAATTTTACCCCGAACTATTTTTTTTAACTATCAAAAACCTCACACTGTTACATTTGCGATAATTTTATCCCGAACTAATTTTTTTACTACCAAAAACCCCTAACTAATGTTTTGACCACTAAAAACTCTAAACTGGTATATTTGCGATAAATTTACCCTCCGTTAGTGTCCGTTAAATTGGATTAATATCACGAAAAATCACAAATTTGTAAACTTAACCCCAAAATGGTACACTCGTCAACTATCACGTATTATCAAGCTTAGCAATTTGACAGTAAAATTTAACGGAAACTAACGGAGGGTAAATTTGTCAAAGGTGTACCAGTTTGGGGTTTTTTGTGGTAAAAAAATTAGTTCGGGGTAAAATTGTCTCAGGTGTACCAATGTGGGGTTTTTTGTGGTCAAAAAAATACTTCGTGGAAAAATTGTCACAAGTATATTAGTTTGGGATTTTTTATGGTCAAAAAAATAATTTATGGTAAATTTGTCATGATTATACAAATTTGGAGTTTTTTGTGATATTAACCGTGTATATATAAAATCATGGAAAGATCTACAACACTGATGCATATGTTAGTGTGCGTGGATGGATGTATGTAGAGACACGAAGCAACCTGGTCACATGTTCCTGTTCTCATTCTCGTCTCATTTTCAGGAAATGATCCTTCCTTCTTTTTCTTGCATAATTTAGAACAAAACTCTTTAATTGTCAGCTTAATTCTCATCGAATTTCTTTCTTTTTATCCGCATATCTTCCAAATGCACCGAAAGTCCTAAAACTTGTCACGGAGTGTAATTACGTCCTAAAACTTTTAAAAGTGCGATCATGTCATAAAATTTGTCACGAAAGTACAATCAAGTCCTGAAGTTTTCAAAAAGTGCGATCAAATCCTAAAACTTGTTACGAAAGTACAATTAAATTCTAAAACTTATAAAATTGGTCCAATCAAGTCCATCCTAAAACTTATAAAATTGGTCTAATCAAATCATTCCGTTGGTTGCACTTTTTGAAAGTTTTAGGGCTCGATTGTACTTTCGTAACAAGTTTTAAGACTTAATTGCATTTTTTAAAAGTTTTAAGACTCAATTGTACTTTCGTGACAGTTTTAAGACTTCTAATACACTTATCCCATTTTAATTTTATTCAAAACTTTTTCGACCGCACTAACGATTATATCAACTCATATTTTTTAAAATAATACTTATTTTCATATCTCGAGGATATATATATCGAAATGTTAGCAATGGAAACGGATATATTTATGATAAATTAATATGAGCAAAAACCATATCTCTCTTTTTACCTCTGTTTCCTTTTGGCCTGATTAGATGATAAAGATTTCAATTTTTTTTTATGGCATGTTTTCATTTAAGGCGGCGGCATCATGTGGGATGAACGAATTTTCTTGCCGAATAAAGTGGCCGCTTTATGCAAAATTGCAAGGGAGGACAAAAGGAAAAGGAAATTGAAAAATGACCCGCGAATGCATCTCGAGAATAAACTTATTCTTTTACGCATGATCTCCAAGACCTCAAGAAGTGTTATTCTTTGCTTTCCTTTATTTTTTATTTTTTTGGGGGTCAAATTCTTTGCTTTGCTTGGCTTTGTGTTGTTCTAGTCAAAGAAGGCTTCTCTGTTTTCCTCCTCAAATGGCTTTTCAGATTCATTTCTGAGGCATGCTTTTGCAAGTACTCTCCTTGAACAGTTTTCTTTTACCTCGTCTAACGAAATATTCGTCTGTGATTGTTTTTTTTGTAAAGTAATATTCACGGTTTTTGCTATTCTTTTTTGGTTGAGCAGTAGTTAGTGTCGAGGCTGGTTATCGGACATCTCGACAATCTATTATTGAGATACATGCGTGAGTTGTGTTAGAAAAAGTCTTACATTGAAGAATTGGTGTAATGCTAAACAGTTAATAAATCATAGTTGGCACATAACTCGTTGGCTCAAGCTTTTGAGTGAACGTGGATCCAGCCGGATATGTCGACGAGATCAGACTTGGGCTCACTCTTGATGATCTCCCCGAGTGAAGGTATCGGGCTTCTGAAAGAAGGAATCTCGTGCCAATGTGGTTTATCGGGCAACATTGATGGTTCGGTCTGTTGCTAGAGACCTTGACCTAATAATGAGTTCGCACGCGACGGTCTAACTCTAGAGACCTAGATCTAACACTGAGCTTGCACATAAAAAGGAGATTGTTGAGATGAACGCGTAAATTATGTTAGAAAAAGTCTTACCTTGGAAAATTGGTGTGACGCGAAGCAATTGATATATCTCAATTAGCTTAAATTTTTAAGTAAATACAGATCTAACTTGATATGTTGATGAATTTGGACTTGAGCTTTCTCTTGGAGATCTCTCGAATGAAGGTATCGAGTTTCTGTTGCATGCTCCCAACAAATGATACCGAAGTCGGTGGTTAATTGGTAACTCACTCTCAATACGTATCGGTGTTTGACGAATATCTTAAGAGAGAAATCTCGTGATGGCAATTTTCATGATTTGGTCTGGAAAAATAGAGCAAAGATGAAGGTGCAGAAGGATTCACGAATTAAGGGGAGCAGACCTAATATTGAGTCCACGTGCGTTTTCTTCTAACACGACGGTATTAAAGGTGCACGCCTCAATATCAGGCTTGCGTATTCAGGACGTTAGAGGAGCAAAATCGCTTACCGTACCGTAGGTTAGAACCACAATCTCTCCTCCTAAAAAAATCTAGCCATTGAAAACAAAGAACAAAAAAGAAAAATCACTGTCTTATTATCTACGGACCTAGTGACCTACTCAAATTAGGCATTGATTAGTAACAACTGTGCAATTAGTACCTATTTGAATTACAGTCGGACTCAGGGTAATCAAAAGCTATATTGACACGCCATTTTCTCTGAAAATAATGTTCACCAGGTCTACCCTCGTATCATGTCATCATCTTCCTAAAACCACTTTAAAGTAAGTCTAGAGCCACGTCGTCTAAGTTCTAAGAGCTTCGCTTGTTTTCTCTTTTTTTATTTTATTCTGTCAAGTCTATTAAAATATCTAAAAAAATAAATCACCCTTTGATTCGAAAATTTTTAGAATAGTCAATAGTGATCTCATAAAATCTCGTATAGTATCGAATCATGAGGTCCGACATAACTTCATGAAAAGATGAGATCAGGTTGAGATTGAGATTTTGTTCTATTTTTTTTTATTAATTTCGATATAAGTACTAATCAATCGTGCAAATATCTGTTTCCTCTTTTCGTATTTTATTCTATTCAAGTTTAAGGAAAATAATTCATCGTCCGTCCGACGTAACTTTATGAAAAGACGAGATCCGATTAGGATTGGGATTTTGCTCTATTTTTTTTTAAATTAATTTCGATCCAAGTGCTAAAATTAATTCTTGGAAAAATCTGTTTGCGACACGTGTCTTCTGTTTCCCACGCAAAGTAAAAAGTTTTTTTTGGTAAGGAAAGAAAAAAGTTTCGTATAACGTGATGGAGAAGTATGTGTCTCGATCGTGTTTCCGGTGAATAAGAAGAAATGCCAAATTAAAGTTTGGAATATTTCAATGGAAAAATTAAGTCAAGTTAAATTTAAAGGCTCGTTTTAGTACCGACCCGAGCGTCAAGAAAACGCACGAGATTCATCTAGCGCATGTTCGGCCGGAAGAAACTGGTCCACGACGGGCGGTTCCAAACAGAATTGAGTCTCGCGATCTCGATGTCGATGGCTTTCGCCCGGTCAAAAGGACGGGATTTCAGTACGCGGTGCAAGATGTGGCGATGGGGGAAAAAACAATGTCAAGTTGCATTTTCCATGCGTTGTCGGTGGGGCGGTGATGTATTGGGAATATGCCAAATCAAAAGGACCTCACAACAGAAGGAAAACAACAACACGAAAGAGTATTTCAATGTACGAAACGATAAGGAGGAGGAAAATAAAGGCTAGGGATAATGATACAAATAGTCTCGAACTTGATTTAATGTGTAATGTGGTTTATGAATTTTTAATTTGTTAGATGCCGTCCCAAAAATTTCTGGGACATATTCAACTTAGTCCCTGAACTTCCTTTCATTAATTCAAGTTTAAGAACCGCACTGAACATTTTCATGTAACAAACTAAAAGTTCAGGGATCATATTAGACATTAGGCTAAAGTTCAAGAATCACGTTAAATAAATTAAAAAGTTAAAAATTACATTGTGTATTGAGTTAAAGTTCAAAAATTGCTTATGTCGTTATCCCGGAAAGAAAGGCGGAAGAGGAGGGAGATTAGGAGGTGGAGGCACATCAAGATTACGGAAGGAGAGAAGGGCGAAGAGTTTACAGAGCCCGAGGGAAATAATAGAAAAGCCGAATTTGCTTGCGTCCCTAAAGATTCCGCAATAGCTTCTTTCCTTCCGTCCTGTTACGCTTTCTTTTTTGGCCTGTTCTTTTGCTAGGATTGTTGTGGGGGGATTGATAGGAGTCATCATCCATCATCAGTTTGCTGATCCTATCGGGCACGCAAGAGCTCGGTTTTTTTAAATTACTCCCATGTGCTGCTCTAATGCCTAAGAATGTGTCCACACAATGCGTACATCAAGCCACTCAAATGGTTTCTTTTTTTTTATTTGCAAAGCAAGTCGCGTCGGTCTCGAAACGCGAGCATGCCAATGTTGAATGTCGACGATTTACGACGGCCGCAAGTAGTTTTTCCCGTCTCAATTGCGATTGGATGCGGCCTCGAGAAAGTAGTTCCGTAGGGACTTAGAGCGCACGTGAGTCGCGACAGAATACATCTGGAAAACGATTTTGACGGTGGATCGCCGCCAGCGCACGACGACGCGTGACTCTCCTTCTGATGCGATGCGTCGATGAAGCGGGAATCCTTGATTGTCCAAGGAGATTCTCAGATTGAGTCCTCGCATTTGCCCCGTTACATCAAGGGTACAACAACAGTACGCGAGGGGAAAAAGATCTACCATTTGCTTGTTTTTTTGCGCTCTCTCTCTCTCTCCTTCTCTCCTTCTCTCCTTTGGACCTACTAAGACGATGAAGAGAACATGACATTAACAAGAGACTGAGAGTGCAGAGAAAATGTTCGGGCAATGAGAGCGATATCATGACCGACGCAGAGACAGTGAACAAAAACGACTTTGTCTCTTCGTGATGGTGGAGCACCGAAAGCAGGAAAAGTAGAGAAAAGGGGGGAACGCATCATCAACTTGCTCAACTTGAAATCTGGTTGCCAGGACACTGACAGCCCCATTCATATCTCGTACCGCCCTGAACATTCCTAGATCCATTAGTCTCTTCAAATTGATCTTACCATGATCCCAAAAAAAAAAAAAAAAGTAAAGAAAGACAGTCGTCTCACAGATCTTGTAGACCAATTATCATAAAGTAAGTGAAGAACCCGTCAAATGAAATTATGAAAGCTAACGTACTAGGATTGGCAGCATTGCATCTCCTCTACAGCTGTTCCTAATCACTTGATTGAGGAACACATCACCAAGCATCCCGCGAACACCAGTTAAAATTTTCACCAGCAAAAGACTGAAGCAATTACTTTTTAAGACCAGCAAGGCCGAGAAAAATGAGAAAGCAAATCCTATGTTGTCTTCATCTTTGCCGAGAGGTTAGTTCCCCGCACGCAACTAATATAAGCATGCTGCGTGATAGTGAAATGGAACAAGTAATGACAAAACCTATCGGATACAGAAATATGAAGTCAATCCACTGTTATGTGCTAGCTCGGCAGCCTGCTTGAGTTCTGCGATCCAGCTGAGATTAGCAAGCTACGGAAATGAAGTATCCATTAGCCGAATATGTGCACAGTCCGCTTCATCCTCAGATCAGTGATGCAAGTTAGAGACTAATGGAAGCAATTCAAAGTCTTTCTAAGCAGCCCACTCCCATGGTAACGTCGACAATGCCAATTTTACGGGATGTCTCTGAAGAGACAAATGTACCTCCCAAAGCTCACATTAGAGAAAAGCGGAACTCGAGCATTACCTTTCCGTAGGCCAAGTCCAAAGCACGAATATTTTAGAAAGATTTCACTGACATTTCACAATCAAACTCACAGCATCAAAGCCCACAAATGGAATTCTTAACGGTTAACTTAAGTACCGGGGAATTCTTGGCAGTAGCATAGGAGGAGCATGAGGCCAAAAGAGGGACTTCATGAACTTACGAGTAACCTTTATACTGATCAAGCATTGCCATCAAATCATATTTTTATTTACATGAATTACCTAATATCACAGAGAAATTCCCTGCCTCTGTTTCACGGATCAATCCCCTATCAACAGAGAAACAGACAAAAAAGATGCTTGATTCTTAAATTCCTCTGAACTGCCTATACGTATGAAAGATCCAAACAAAATGAAAAATGAACCTCAAGCAATCGGTCATGCCTATCTTGACAACTTCCCTAGCATTCCCCGAAATCTATATGAACTCACAAGGAATGTAAATGCAAAACTGTCTATGGTGGAACATCCTACCATCGAGGTGCACGCTTGATTAAACCAATCCAGTGAATTCCGAAGAGAGCGTCACAGCACTGGTGCCTCTAATTAACAGGGTAGTTGAAAATCATTTCCTGCATCAACAAAACGAAAAGTACTGAGCGACAATAGTGACATGAATTCTCTCTTCTTATCCCAATGAAAGACGCATCAGATCCAACCAAGACATACCTCATCACAGACTGGACAAGTATCGCTTCTTTCCATCCATTCAAGAATGCACGCAAGATGAAAATGATGCTCACATTTTGTCACAATTTTTGGGTTATTGGCATCATATTCTGCACAAAGAGGAAAATGATCAGTCACCTAGAAAGTAAGCAGTTTTAACGTACAATGAAGTGCGGAAGATACATCTACCAGAACAGACTTTATGGTGCTCCGTGCACATACTAACATCCGGGGAGAAAAGATGCTAAAATAATTTTCCACTAGCAATTCTATGGAGTGATAGGACACTGTGGAGAAACACGACATAGGTGCTTGTATTTTAGATATCTAATATGGAGAAAAAATCTTCTACAGAAAGGAGAATTACTCAAAGTCACCACAAAAAAAAATAAAAAATATGGCACGTTCAACTCATTATCAACCTACGTCCAAAAAAAAACTAATTATCAACCTCATTTAATAGCAAGATGTAAGCAATTGAAGTGATGCATTGACAAGAAAAAACCAAAACGGAAACATACTAAGAAGTTTTTAATGAAAATGGAAAACCACAATACTTCCTCAGATTCGAACATCCCAAATATTTCATGCGTACTACTAGGGCTGTCCGAATGCATTACCCTCTAGACAGGTGGGGCACTCCTCTGCAGATGAATTAACAAGATTAACGGATTCTGAGAGCTCAATTTCCGGCTCGTTTTCTGTTTCGAGAACATAGTCTTGTCCTTTGCAGTCTGATAGCTTCAAATCTCCACATTTGGTTGGTTTATCTAAAACATTGCCGCCAACATTTTCTGCAGGAACAGAATCAGTTGTCTCAACCGATGCATCGGTTTTATTGCCAGTACTTTCTTCAGGCTGCAGTGGAGTTTGAGGATGGCCTAAAGCCACATCATAAGGCAAAGGTGCAGGAGGTGGTGTATAGGTGTCAATAGAAGTAGTTTCCAAATTTGTATCAACCACGAGCCCGGAAGAGATTGTAGGGGCAGAATTATGGTGAGATGATAAAGGAACAAGCTGTTCGGATGCTGTCGGGCACTGCAGAGAGAATATGCACTAGATTAAGGCTCAAGAGAATAATACAAAAGGAAAGTACTTATGAAAATAAATTCACAAAAATTACATCTATGTTGTATGCTGTTTTGACCATTTGTGCTCGAAATCACGAAAGATCTTTTTCCATGACAACCGCCTAAACTGAATCCACTCTACTTAGATTTACATAACAATAACCAGAACAAGAACCCTGCTTGTTACAGTACAGAAGCGAAAAGTAATGCAACAGAACTATGTCTTTGGTGTTTAATCCGAATATGTCAGATTACTCAGAAGGCACATAAATTACTGTCATCTTACACAATGACGTGAAAATTAATTTGCATCCAAAAAATATGCAATGGAACTATGTGAGGCTACCCTTAAAGCAATTCATGCAACTTTTACTACATGTGGACACCTGGCTACAAGAATCGAAGGAGCTTATAATGAATGCCATGACCAAAGTACTCTAAAGTATAAGAAATGAGAAATTCGGAACAAGGCAGTGACATGGAGATCAATCATTTGAAAATTAAAGCAGGAGCAAAGTATCACCATCTGTATCCATTGAAGAGATCGATGAAAAAAAAATCATTATAAAAGTAAATGAAAGTATAGACATGTGCAAAACGAATCGATATTCTGAGAATTGATTGAAGCATCATTAACCATTATTGAGAATATAGACAAGAAAATCCTAATTGGAGGTCTACTGCCAGCAGTTAAGAGAAGCCTACGTGATTACCTGGTGAAACTCTTGGGAATAGCTGAAACGATTGTGAAAATATTAAGAGAATATCATGCAACAAGTAATCATAAGAAAGTAGACAAAACATAGTACGAAGAGGCTGCATGGTAGGCATAGGAAAAAAAACCTACCCCAGGAGGACCCAATCAAACCTGCCCAGCATGTTTGGTACGGGGCTATTGTGGGTGGGGGTGACAACAATATTGAACAACCACGCCCGACAACCGCCCCCCCCCCCCTTGCCCTTTGCCTTTCCTACTGATGCATACTATTGTTGCTTAGAGAGGCCACAGGCCCACAAGTACAATAACATACTACACAATTCCCTGGGTCAAGCGCCAAACGAAAGGAGGCATACTGATGTTCAGCAAAAATGACGGCTTCAGCAGAAAAGGAGGCATACTAAAATGCATTGACCATTTGCCAAAAGCATATCATGTACTCGTGGAATATGCACAAGTTAACTAAGGTCAACTACTAGTTCCTAATACTGACTTTTATCCAGTCATAACGGGAACATGCTTTTGTGCTAAATAAGATTCTTCAAAAACAAGCATTTCATAAGACTTAGGCTGAGCAGATGAAAAAGTTACTCACACTGACGTGATAGAATGGTGGCGGTCCAGGCCTAGGACAGCAACAACAACCTCCCATATTGGTATTCTTTTGACTGCTGAGCTTTATCAATCGGCACCTGGCTCATCTTATCCCATCGTTCAACATAAGTGCAATCGAGTTATCTAGATAAAACACAAGAATGTAGACATTATTATCTAGATGCACATCAAAATAGTTAGTAGCAGATATCATGAGAAAAGGCAAAGAGAAGCAAATCGAAAACCAGACCAGAAAGGAAGTTTGTTTTGGAGAAGCTGTGATTTAGACCTATTGCTCAAATGCAATTGGTTACAATACTAGCTAGGACTTTACTAAAAGGAACATGGGAAATAAAGAAAACAAAATAGCAAGTAACCGATGCCTCGTATTCTTGCAAAGCCATTGCTAATAACATAATTGCACATATTCTTGGAAAATAAGTATTGATAACATAACCAATCATATGCAAAATCATCTCATGGCGACCAACAATTTGTGAGGGACTCAAGTGCGGAACCCTGGATTATGTGCATTCATGCAGTCCGCACGCCATAACCAAAACAATAAAAGGAAAAATGAAAGGGAAATCCCCCAATTTAATGGAACCTAATAAAACATTGCCACGGTAAAGTAATCACCGTGAGAACAAACAATGGAATAGCACGAAAGTCTCTGAGACAACAGAACTGCACCAGTAGTGAACCTTGCTATACTTCCATTAACTTCCTTCACCGTCCTCGACAAAGGATCACCTAGTTGATCACATCGGCAGCACTCGATATGCTAGCAGTAGAAATCATAGAAGATTCCCCGCTCTATATTGTCGGCTCCTATGCTAGTGCACAATTTTACTCGAAAGATTCTAATTCTGTACAAACTCATCATGTATCAATGGTTAGTCCTCCTAGCTGGAGCCAAGCAGTCACCCTTTAATGCAACATGGCAGAGGCAGCCGAATATAAGAAATTCTACGTCAGTGATATAGGCACGCTAATTCCACACCGCTAACAGTCTCCTAGCAATCGACAGGAGCTCAATACATCTGGAGAGCGGACGCAACTCGAAAGCGAAAGCGAAAGCGTCATCAGCCTCCATCTATCGATTCAATAACTACGGTCGGCGGTCGGCGCAGCTCAGCAGAGCAAACGCGCGCGCGCAGGCTAGCAACACTAGAGACTCGGAATTCCGGCATCACAACACAGCCGCGAGCAAGCCACAATCGGAGAGCCAGCATCGACAAACGCGTCGCCGAAGCAGCAAGCCCGCAGCGACGGCCGAACTCTCGCCGCCGAACCGACCGGAGCCGGAGCTCGTTTCCCCCGGCACGGCGGCGAGCCCCGCGAGGAACGCGCGCATCGGCAACCGGCGGCAGCGCGCCGCGCAGACCGGAAACCGGCGGGCTCCGGGGAACCGGCCGATCGCCGGCGATTCCGATCGGAGTAGCGCCGCCGGTGGGGGGGGGGAGAAGCTGAAGGAGTTTCGCGGACGGAATTACCTTGGCCGACGAGAAGCCGAATCGAATCCCGGCGCAGGGCATGTAGAGAGAGAAAGGAGGAAAGAGAGAGAAGGAGCACGAAGCGCGAGCTCGCTATCAGTTCTGCTTGTGCAGTCGAGCGAGGAGACGGAGAAAAGGCAACGGAAAGGAAAAAAGAAAAAGGAAAAGGAAAAGGAAAAAAAGAAAAATACAGAAGGCGAGAAAAAATCGGAAAATAAAAAAGAAAAAAGGAGGAATGTGATCTACACGCGCCCGCCCGCGAGTGCGCGAGTGTGGGGCGGGTACTCGCCGGGGATTCCGACGGTGACGTGCGTTGAATTCCCGGTGCCGTGCGCTGGCCTACCCGAGCGACCGTGGGGCGGGAATGCTTGGAATGTTGCCGAAGCGGCGTCAGCCGCCGGCCCCACACGCGCCGGCCACGTGAGGCCTCCCTTGGCACGTGCGGATAGAATATTGGCGTATGTATACGCGTATTGTAAGTTTATGTATGGGAATTGGTTACAAATACGGAGAAAATTTGCGAATTTTTAATGTGCTGCTTTTTCTCGTGTTATATACGTAACAGACGCTTTGAAAATCATAATATGCGTTATTTTTATTTATAAAGCGTGCTTTATCGAATGTTGTCGGGAGACACTCGTGGATAAAATCCTTAAGTTGGATTATCATCGGTTCCTTTCTTGTTAGAGATATATTTAAGATATTCTGTGATTTCGTATATTTTTCCGTGATCATGTATATTTTACTCGATTGATCCTGATGCGTTACTTGAGAAAGTCGTTATGTGAAGTCCATAAATAGACTCATATATTATTCACTTGATAATGAACAGAATATCATTTTTCTCTTCATTCATAGATCTTGACTTGGTATTGGAGCAATTGTTACTTGAGGTGTGCCCATCGAGTCTGCCACACATTGACCTTCACCAAAAACGAAGCCTTTAGTTGATGTTCGGCATACTTCCGTTGCTCATTTCGAAAAACCGACACCATGATCAGACTCGCCGCCCTCAAGTGAACCACATCTTGAGATTTCGTCGCCAATGAAGCCACAATTATCTTTAAGATATTTCCTAGAGATAATATGATATCTCCCTCGATTTTTCACAATCTCTCGTGATGGTGTATCTATCTAAGGTATTCTCCATATCTCCTTTTGAATTGTGCATATCTTTCATTGAGATATTATCTAGATAGACATCTAATAAAACCTATCATGTACTCTTTATTAAAGATACACTGAAATATATGGAAATTTCACAGTTATCTTATCTGCGTATTATTCTTATCCGTCTAAAAAAGTAATTTGACTAAATAATTGAGATTTGATTTGGTTTTCATTCTTTTCCCCACTAAGCTGAAGCTGGACTGCTAAATTGTGGGTTATACTTAGTATCAGTCTTCTATTATTTTTGTCTAACATTGACCTAGACTAATCCCATTTGCCTTTGAAATTTTTGAATATTTTTCTCAGTCCCTCTTGTAATACTTTTTCTTCTAGCCAAGTTAGACAGTATTATTTGTGTTCGCCTACTTGTCAAGGAACAGCAAAACAAGTCTGCTACGATGGAGACTACACAACAAGACTAACTACAGCAAACGGTCCGTATCTCAGCAATCCCATCACCTACAATCTTCCAGGTTGGTATAGTCCGTCGGGGTATCGGTAGATTTCCGGTTCAAGAACCAGACGTCGCCCGTTCAGAACCCACAAGCTGCACGCAAGCCGTTGTCGGTTAGGACCATCTGCACTTTAACCGGTTCGAGGTGCTCGCGTAATATTTCACGGGCCTCTAAGGAACTGGGATTGCTTAAGCGCATCGTTTGCTTCACAGGTTTATGCTTTTGTAATGTCCATGCTTACGGTTCATTCTTAGAGTACGCGAGCCCGTTTGATACCGAACCACAAAATCCGAACTTTAGAAAAGGGTAGGATTTGCCTTCCTACTTTTCAAATTGGGTTGGTGCGATTTGGTTAAATTCGGGCGCCAAACGCCATCCAATCTCAACGTCGTGCTCATTCCTAGCGTGAACTACGAAGTGATCCCTCCCTTTCCCTTTCGAAACATGTAGAAAATCTCTCCGAAAGCTGAGTTCCAAAGTTCTATAATCGCTTAAAATAATCACTTTGGATCAAGTTATAAGGAAGTAATAACTTGACTTGGAAGTTGTTCTCCTCTTCTTCTTTGCTGCTAGACAAGGAATAAAGAGATCATTTTTTTTAAACAGTGTCCACGGTGAAAGGACTAGGAGGATATGACCTTTGTTCGTTCGGAAGCCGATTTGATGTTCATTCCATGGTCGGAATAGCATGTAGTTTAGGCCGAATTTGAGATCAGCCCCTATCGCCCTCTTGTCTCGACCGTTGCCATAGTGACGGGTTCGTGTTGCGCTAATTCACCTCACGTAACCGGTACATACGTTACACGAAGTGATAAGCAAAACAAGTGCAGCAAAATAAAGAGGAGATCACAAATTTACGTGGTTCGACAGATAAGTCTGTCTACATCCACGGGGCAAGCACACGGAACTCACTTGTATAACAGGAGAAATTACAACGCACACCCCTCAACCTGACAAACACCAAACAGTGGGTCGCACTCTCAACCGTGAATCTTTTCTCAGTACAACTCTCACAATCACAGAGATACTGCACACCCAAGATTCCCTTACAAGAGATAACCCAGACCCCCAAGTTCTATTTCACCCAGAACGTAGAGAAAAAACAGAGGAATAACCCAAAGCACATTAACTCTTAACTGTTCCCTCTCTGTCTCTCTCTCCTTCACACGTTCCCAAAGAAGTAGAGGGGTGGTTGTACGCACTAAAGTAGTGGAGGAGTGGCATCGACAGTTACTCCCTATTTTTTAGGTGTCACATTCTCCCACTTGAAGACTATTCTCGAATAGGCTTCACAGCTCCGATTTGCCCAACCATCACCAATCAAGTGATAACTACAAGCCCAAGAGAAGTTTTGCACCATAAAAACTTCTCTCTCGCAATAGGCTTCGTCAGCACATCTGATACGTTGTCGTTGGTGTGAATTTTCTGCAAAGAGATAACTCCATCTTCCACTACATCACGAATAAAATGGTACCTGACATCAATGTGTTTCGTACGAGAGTGAAACATTGGATTAACGGCCAAATGTAATGCACTCTGACTATCACAATGAATAGTGATGACTTTCTGTTTGATTCTTAGCTCGTCAAGCAATCTCTTCAACCAAATGCCTTCTTTACAAGCATCTGTTGTTGCGATGTATTCAGCCTCTGTAGTAGATAATGCCACCACAGATTGTAACTTAGACATCCAACTAATTGCTCCACTAGCTAAAGAGAAACAGTACCCAGTGGTAGATCTTCGTCTATCACGATCTCCCGCAAAATCTGCATCTACAAATCCAACCGATTGTAAATTTTGGCTACTATAATGAATAGCCATATCAGAGGTACCCTTCAAGTACCGAAGGATCCATTTCACCACAATCCAATGATCTCGACCGGGTTTGCCATGTACTTGCCGATCGCTCCCATTGCTTGCGCAATGTCAGTCCGGTGCGGACCATGGCAAACATAAGACTCCCTACTCGCGACGCATACGGTACTCGAGCCATCTCTGTCTTCTCTCGCTTGTGCTAGGACTGCTTCGAAGACAGGTTTACAACCAATAAGAAGTGGGGTATTAACCGGTTTGGCGTTCTGCATATTGAAGCGCCGCAGAACCTTTTCCACATAGCTCTTTTGAGTTATCCAGATCTTCCTATTTTCACGATCTCTGAGTACGGTCATCCCAAGAATTCGGTTTACGTCTCCCAGATCTTTCATATCGAATTCCCTAGCCAAACGAGCTTTGAGGTATGCAATACCTTCTTTCGAAGTACCCGCAACTATCATGTCGTCAATATACAACAACAAGATTATAAAGCCACCATTACCATGATTGCGAACATAGGCACAATGGTCTGCTTCACATCTTTTGAACCCCAAACTCATAATGAAAGAATCAAATCGCTTGTACCAGCATCTTGGCGCCTGCTTCAAGCCATAAAGCGATTTGTTCAGTCGACAAACCAAACTCTTCTTGTTCTCTTCAATAAAGCCTTCAGGTTGAGTCATAAAAATTTCTTCATCAAGATTTCCATGCAAAAAGGCTGTTTTTACATCCAACTGCTCAAGCTCTAAGTCAAGCACATGCCACACTCAACACAAGATAATAGTAGTTAGACGAACAACTTGGAGAAAAAATTTCATTAAAATCGATACCGATTTCGAGCATAACCTTTCACCACTAAACGAGATTTATATCGTTCAATATTTTCGTTATTGTCTCTTTTCAACTTGTAGACCCACTTGGAACCGATAGCCTTTCGTCCTTCAGGTAACTTGACAAGATCCCAGGTTTTGTTTTTGTGTAAAGCCTCCATTTCCTCCTCCATAGATGCCCTCCATTGAGGAGCATTACTGGACTCACAAGCTTCTTGATATGTACAAGGCTCTCCCTCTTCAGTTATGCAAGCGAAAGTTGTCACATAATCATTTAGCCAAACTGGAGGTCTAGTAGTCCTCCTATGAGGTCCTTGGTCACCCCGAGTTTCACTACCGGTTACATCACGTATGCTCTCTATCGCTTCATCTCCACTAGCTTCATCGGTATCGGTCAAATGTTCTTCAAATTGATTTTGAACTTCTTTTGATGATTCAAGTTCAAATATTTGTGACAAGTCAGCATTTGGCGTTTCTTTGTCTTTTTGCAACGAATCTTCATTGAAGACGACATCTCGGCTAATAACGACTTTGTGGGTAGTAGGATCCCACAATCTGTACCCCTTTACACCTTCTGCATAGCCAAGAAAAATACACTTTCTGGACCTTGCTTCAAGCTTTGTCCTTTGCTCTTTAGGAACCCACATATAAGTATCACAACCAAAAGTACGGAGGAAAGAATAGTCAACAGTTTTTCCAGACCATACCTCTTTTGGAATCTGTCCATTAAGAGCAGTTGTTGGGGAACGATTCACTATGTAACATGCCGTACATACGGCTTCACCCAAAAACTCGCTTCATACCAAAGACACTCAACATACTTCGAGTACGATCCATTAGCGTACGATTCATACGCTTAGGCCACTCCATTTTGTTGTGGAGTTAAGGGACCGTGAAATGTCTTTGAATGCCATGCTCGCATTGCAAAAAATCTAAGAACTCTTGCAGCATATATTCTCCTCCATTATCGGTTCTGAAACACCTTATTTTTGTTCCTTTCTGATTTTCTACCAACGCTTTAAATTTCTTGAAAGAAGCAAAAGCATCACTTTTCCTTTTAAGGATGTAAACCCAAACTTTTCTGGAAAAATCATCGATAAATGAAATAAAGTACTTTGCACCACCCAAAGACTCATCAGGAGACTCCCAAATGTCAGAATGTATCAAGTCTAAAATATTCTGACTTCTTGCTGTGGAACGACGAAAGGGAGTTCTATGAAACTTTCCAAACTGGCAATCTTCACAAAATTCTAAATTAATAGTCTTTAAACCAGGAAGAAGACCGCGATCAAGAAGTACCTTCAGTCCTTGCATGCTCATGTGTCCCAAACGCCTGTGCCAGATAGTTGCCGACTCTGTCACAGCATTTGCAACTATGGCTTCACTGACTATGGTCTCTCCAATTAGCCTGTATAAACCGCCTATTAATTCTCCTTTCGCCACGATAAGTGCTCCTTTGATGATCTTAGCTCGTCCCTTTTCCAGAATAATTTTATAGCCATTTTCATCAAACTTTCCCAGCGACAGTAGACTTTTCCGCATATCCGGTACATGCCGTACACCAGATATTGTACGCGTGATGCCATCAAGCATGGTAACACGAACATCTCCAATCCCCACGATTTGACATGAGTTATCATTGCCCATGTATACCGTACCTCCATCACATAACTGATACGTATGGAACCAGTCTCTATGTGGTGTCATATGGAAAGAAGCGCCCGAATCCAAAATCCATTGATGTTGCACGCTCTTTATTGGAACTGCAGTCATCACCTCGCCATCTTCAGGTAAGTCTGCATTTTCAACGATGTTTCCTTGGGAATTTGTTGATGTTGATGCATTTTGGGAATCAGATTTGCGATTTTGTTGATTCTCCTTGGATTTACAATCTTTACGCATGTGACCCTTTTGTCCACATTTCCAACAAGGACCCAAAGTTCGCCTCTTTGACATGGACCTTGACTTCTTTCTCCCACTGAAACCTTTGTCCATGGATCTTCCTCTGGCCATCATAGCATTACCAGAACTGCTCTCGAGAGTTTTTCTACGAGACTCTTCCGTCAGCAACGTAGCTATAGTTGAATCCATGTCAAGATCCGCTCCAGTACTGAGACTCATGATCAAGGAATCCCATGTATCAGGCATCGAACATAGAAGAAGTGTTACCTTCTCGTCGTCCTCGATTTTGACGCCGATGGAAATCAATTTGCTCAATAGGGTGTTGAACCTGTTCAGGTGCTCTTGGAAAGAGGACCCTTCCTTCATCTTTAAACTGTATAATTGCCGACGAAGAAAAATTTTGTTTGACATTGTTTTCCCTTCGTAGAGATTCTTCAATTTCTCCCATAAGCCTTTGGCAGTGGTTTCTTCAAAGACATTGAAGAGGACAGAATCATCTAACGCCAGAAGTAGATCCGCCATTGCCATTTGATCTTTCTGTGCAAAATCCTCATCTTTCATCTCTGTCGGCTTTTCGTCTTTACCGGCAAGAGCAACTGCACAACCATCTTTCACCAAGACCGCTTGCATTTTCAACTTCCACAATGGATAGTTGGATCCGTTGAATTTTGGCACCTCGAACTTTGTAGAAGTTGATGCAGCCATCGCACAAAGCTGAAACACGTACGTTGACGTCGATCACGTGCAGCACAGGCTTCTCGAACCGTCGGCTCTGATACCAATTGTTGCGCTAATTCACCTCACGTAACCGGTACATACGTTACACGAAGTGATAAGCAAAACAAGTGCAGCAAAATAAAGAGGAGATCACAAATTTACGTGGTTCGACAGATAAGTTTGTCTACATCCACGGGGCAAGCACACGGAACTCACTTGTATAACAGGAGAAATTACAACGCACACCCCTCAACCCGACAAACACCAAACAATGGGTCGCACTCTCAACCGTGAATCTTTTCTCGGTACAACTCTCACAATCACGAGATATCGCACACCCAAGATTCCCTTACAAGAGATAACCCAAACCCCCAAGTTCTATTTCACCCAGAACGTAGAGAAAAAACAGAGGAATAACCCAAAGCACATTAACTCTTAACTGTTCCCTCTCTGTCTCTCTCTCCTTCACACGTTCCCAAAGAAGTAGAGGGGTGGTTGTACGCACTAAAGTAGTGGAGGAGTGGCATCGACAATTACTCCCTATTTTTTAGGTGTCACAGTTCGAACTTTGGGTTGCAAAATTGCCGATTGCATTGTACGGTTTTGCTAAGATATAAGTTGCAACGAAGCGACATTGTTACGTCCTAGTTGCGGCTTCACATGCAATTGACAGCACGGTCATACATCCGATTTGTTCCACATACGTGCGTGCGTGCGCACGAAACAACAGGCACGAAACAACAGTTGCTCCCAGAGTCGACATTATTGAAAAGTGGTTACGCAACAGTGCAGTGATGAGGTCTGAGGATATGATGTTTGCTCGGGCGGAGAGGTACTCTAGGTGATCCACATTTATCGACAACATTGATAGCAGCGACATGACGCAACCTGTCAAAGTCGAGAATTAAGATGACATCCGGGCTCTGTCTTGCACTCGAGAGATTCAAAATGAATTACTTTAACTTGGTAGAATCGAACTCAGATTTCCCATATTTCTCGAACCCATTGCATGGTTCTTGTACATTGTTCTCTCCGTGACCAAACTCAGTCTTATGACTTCATAAAACGAGAGATGTCTCTCTACCTTTAAGTAGGTAAACTTCAATACTCGAAACTACGCAGTCGGGTTTTGTGCGACTTTGCTTATGCATATCCAAACGTAATGGATGTGATTCCTTCAACAAAGGTGATGAACGGGTGGGCAGCCCCTTCATCCTGCACAGGCTCGAGAGGCTAGAAAGATAAACGAGCAAAGATCTGGACAAGCCCGGCTCGCCTTACTTTGGCCTAAGACTGGCTCGATCCAAACGCTTCTATGTAATGTACATGTGTTGGACGGGCTTGGGCAATATAGTAGCCCTTACCTTCAACGCCGATTCAGTCCGGACCCGCCCAATGACGACCTCTACTATGTCACTCCAAAGGGCAGATCACTAGGGATCGGCACACGTTCCTTTGATTTTGGCTCTTCCAAGTCCAAACACGGACTCGAAGTAGATGGAGCCGACCAAAATCATATGTCCAATCACCAGGGAATTATTGTCACGTAATCATCATCAGTCTTTTGAAAAAATCTGACCAACCCAGGTCCCCACTTCCGCAGTACTTCGCCAAAACAGAAAAAAAATGAGCAATAAAAGCCAAGACAAGTCATCCCGCCTGTGGTCCAAAGAACAAACGAATTCAAATCTCTGGGCAGACAAATTTCCATCCATTTTAGGAAGTTTCGAAGATGCCCTCTTTCTTGGATGGTCACCAGACCAACAATCAACCATATCTTGAGCAACAGAAAGCAAATCAAATGTGCATAGTCCTAATGTCTTTCGGGTTTCAATATAAAAGATAAAGAAAAGTCTCGTCTTTCTTTTCTTTTCTTTTCCTTTTCTTTTCTTTTTAAGTCTTCGTCTCAACCGGGTCAAGACAAGTCATCCACACTGGTAAGAATATAATTAGCACCCACGTCTTGTGCTCTTTAATCCAATGGAGTTGAATGAGCTTTTACTACATAACTAGGAATTGTCGTCCCAGACGTTACCTGGGGCTAAGAGAGAGCAACTAACATCAGAGGGTTAGCATCCAAAGGACGAACAAGAATTGGTTGACCACACTAGGTGGTCATATTTTGTGAGGGTTAATTCCAGGACACTTTAAGAGGTAGCGTGCGCTGCAGCAATTGTTCCTGCTCCTTCCGTCGCTTGGCCAGGCGCATGAAGTCTGTAATCACTTCTTCCTCGTTTACTCTCTGATGTATAAGAAATAAGCAAAAAAGGGAGATGCATCAGTTTTATCTTAAATGCAGCGCATAAGTTTGTGCGCACGCAGAGTGTTCGAGTGTATAAGTGCATGCGCGCACATGTGCTAGAGAGAGAGAGACAGAGAGAGACCTGTGATACGAAATGGTGCACTGCGACGTTGAGCATTTCATTCCTCTGTGGGTTGATTGATGCGCTTATCTACAAATCACGTTTCAAGAAAATACAGCTCAGGACAAATCTTTTAGAATGTAAATCAACATCACCATGTTTGAAAAACCTACAAGCTTGTAGTGCCTGCAGTATCTCCACAGTGCATATGTGCTCAGTTTTGCCAAATCTATCTTCTGCAAACCACAAAACAGCTACAAATTATGTCAACTCAATGAATACCAAGAAAGCACCAGATCTTTGCTGGAAAAAAGACTTGACCAACATGCAAGCAGAAATTTCAATATTTAAAAGGAATCATTGGGATTCATTCCTCTATTCAACTTTGTTTATGTTAGCCCTACGAGCAGAGCAAACTCCACAAGAGAAGTAATAAACAAGATAATCGTACACTGCTCATACCAGTTGAGGTGTCTGAATGATCGATCGGACGTCTCGGTAACTGCCGTGGACGACAGACTTCCTTGCAACAGGGGCGACCAATGGCTTTACATGCCGCACTTTTGGCTTTCCCGGTTTGTGGGAGTTAGTTTTAGTAGCTGCTCAAGGAAAATAACCACTTCAAAAGATAGAACACAGAATTCCAATAAAGTACAAGAAGATAGGGCCTAAGTTCGACTGACAGATAATATGCTCCTTTTCGATAATGTCAGAGTCAGTGCTAGAGTCCATGATATGATCACCATCATCTTCGTTCCCGGTAGGATGTTCCAGGACGCTCAATGCATTCCTTTGCAGCTTGACTTCAACTCCGTTTTTCAGAACCTTGCAAGAGAAAGCCCCCATAGTTTTAAAGCTTATCCTCAAAACTTGATTCGCTAAAAATGCAAAGCAGTAATATATGTTCATTTAAAACATTTCCATTGAAAAGATGACCAGAAAACCAGTATGGTAATTTATGAGGATACCCATCTTAAGTAGACGGGAAGACGGCAGAAACTTTGTCCATCAGATCCGAGTCTAACAGTTATGCAATCGATAAAACCCAATATTGACATGCAAAGCAATTTTTTCATATGGAAATTAGTCACTTAAAAGCAAGCACTCTAAAAATTTATGTCACGTGCCAGACAAAAGAGATGTCAACTACCTAAGTTCTTCACATGCAAGTGTTATCATCTAGCTGAATAAAGGAAACAAACTTGGGTTACAATTATGTGCCAACATAAGACCTTAATGTTGGGGGCTCAGCACAACTTTTGACATGCATTACCCATCACACTGATAGAGCATATCTTCAATCAAACACGAATCGCATCTAATCACTTCTTGCTGAAGTTTTCCTTAATGAGAACCACCAATCCACCGATACGTTTAAACTTCAGTACTCTTTATGATTTATAAGCAACTAATTCAATATTGATAAACCACATCAGATGAATTCCTAAAATGAAAGTAAACATTCAAGAATGACGCAATTCGCTAGTCGGTATTTGGATTATGGTAGCCTACCAAAGTAGAAATGTGATCACTAATGATATAAAATTCTATTGATGGAAATTCACACATGGTTGGATTTAGCAAATAAAAAGCAGCTGACCTAAAAGTGAGAAATTAATATTGCTCCACTTGTGCTACTACGTAATGAACCATTACTCAAGTCAACATGTACCAAGAAAAAGATAATGAAGGAATACCAGCCAGTGCCAACCACCGAGGCCCACGGCCTTCTTCACAACGCCTTGGAGACCCACCAGGACAGACTTTGTTCGGTTGTTACCAGTCACAATGACCTTGGTATGCCTAGGAAGAACGGACAGCTCCTCATCACCACTTTCCTCGCGAAATGGCGATAAAATTCTAGAAGCACACAGCTCAGGTTCCTCCAGCATTGTCTCCAACTCAATCCTCCCCTCAATCAACGGATAAAAGACCTACGCCAAACCCAAATGGTGTGAAACATACACAAAGATGGGATTTTCAGTTTAGAATATAGTGATCCATTGACTTCAGCTCAAGATGGGGATGGCTTTCGGTAGAAGCTCATGGCATTCCAGACTCCCCCTTCCTCAGATATCTCAAAAGAAGCTTCACTCAAGTAAGCTTTCCTGCGAAGTGGAACAAAGAATTGACAACAAGTTCTTCTGTGAACAGATTAAAGCAAGTAACGACTACTGAAATGTTGAATCACGAGAGAGAGAGAGAGAGAGAGAGAGAGAGAGAGACCTCGACCAGACAAACCAATCTGACACTAATCTTTTAAGGACCGACCAAGAGAGTTCGAAAACGACTGAATCACAGACAAATTCCGTTCATTTAAAAAAAAAAAAAAGGTTTTGAAGAACCAAACGTTGTGATCTACATCAATATAGTGCTGATAACTCGTTACATAAAACCTCCATACAAGTCGCGGTAACACCAAATTCGGAACTAGAGCTACTCTGTTCAAGTAAAAATCACCTCGATCACCCCCAACATCAACCTGAGAGTGCTTCAGGCTCTACCCGGAAAGTTCAGCTCAGAGGACTCCGACCCAAAACATCCAAAAAAAATCGAAACTTTTCCCAAGAAAAAACCAAGAGGACACACCACACGAAGCCACCCTGCACTAAATTAATTCCACTCCAAAACCCAAACCCAGATAAGAACAGGTTGACGAAACGCAACGACGCAAGCACTCAATACCCACCTGGACGCATTCCGCTCCTAGCGACGAGTCCAACACAATTCGCGACTCGGGACCGAAATGCGTAGCAAGAAAACCCAAAAGAACCGACCTTGATCACTGACCGCGTACCTGCACGCACGAAAGATCGCGAGACCGAGCTCGACCCGGACGAAAGCGAGAAGAAATGCGAAGATGGGTGTGATTTTTTCCGGACGAGAGTTCAGAAAGTGCACAGTTCTCGAGAGCGAAACTGCGATTTTGATGACGATACGCTTGAAATGATCCAAGATAACGCGACCAAGCAAAGCGAGAGAGAGAGACAGAGAGAGAGAGAGAGTGTGTGCGCGTGAGTGTGTCTGTTCTTAAATGCATTACCAACTGCTGATAAGAAACGGACCTGACACCGTGGCGTACGGTCGGGCATTGCATCCGACCGGGCATTTGCCGGTAGCCGGTCGCCTTCTCACGAAAATGCTACGTGAGCATTCAATTTTAACTCGAATTCAAATCCCGGCTTGAATATTTTTGTCTCGTGAGAGGGCCTCGTCCCGATTCTGGTCCAAACATTTTTTTGTCTCCTAAAAGAAATCAATTTTAGCCCGTGTCCCATTTTTGGCCGAAACTCTCTCTTGTCTCGTGAAACAGCCCTAACCTTCGGTTGGTTCCCAAATCTGGCTCCCGTCAAGCTTCCATCGTGTTTTCGCCGATTACACGTGTCGAATCTTTAACGGCATTATCAGACAAAGACTTGCCCCTATTTGGGTATTGACTAAAAGTTTGTGTTCTTTCTTATCACAGAAAAAAAATTTTGGAATCCAACCTAACGTCGGTGTTTTTTTTGTGAGATAGATAAAATGCTCTGGTCAATATTGAGGCCCGACATAAAGTCGTTGCTTTTTTAAGAGACAGAAGAAAAGTTTCGATCAGAATCGGGACCCGAGATAAAAGTTAGTGCTTTTTAAGGAAATTAGGCCAATAATCGTACGTAACTTGTATGGGCACTACGATAAATAAAAAATTGAATTTTCGACGGAGACGTCGGTGGACGGTTCCTTTATTTTCGGTTAGAGGATGATAACGCGAGTTCCTTACAAAGATGGCAACGTGAAAAAACAACACGAGGGGAGCGGAGGTCGGAATGCAACTTTGTCACGTCTTATTTCCCACCATTGCTCGAGCTTAACGAATCAAAACTACATTTTCTTGGCTTCGCTTCACGGGCATCGCTTGAATTTCTATGTCCACGTCCCTACATTCCGTCGAGAATGCTCGAGACTAAAAGTGGATTTAGCCAGAGAGAAGTGTGTCGTGCCGACGCTTGACGAGATTTCGACCATCCGTTCCGACCTTGGTGTTCTCTGTTATCGCGTTTTGGCACGACTGTAAGCCCTCCTTTGCGAAGAGTTGAAAGTGCATATTACTGCATCCGCTCCGATCTCAAGCCGGCTTTTCCTAACTTGCGAGAGATGACCGGCCGCCTATTAAAAGATGCGGGATATTTCCATCTTATCACACACATTCAACGGAGGAACAAACCGATTAAAGAATGTTCAAATATCGGGCTCGTCGTATAAATCTAGTCGGCAATAGAACAGGGAAAGAAAAGGGCAAATATCACCCAAAAAAAATCTCGAATTATGTCCACCGTGACGCAAATATCCCATTTTATGTGTGACGTTCAGTTCCATCCAGGCTATACTTGTCGCACCGGTATAATTCGAGATTTTTTATGACACAAAAAAAAATATTTCGATGGTATTTATATCACGTAATTTGAAATTTTTTGTGGTATTTATTAAAAAAATCGATTTTTTATTCGTTTTGCTCCTTTATAATCTGTTGGGAACATAATCTCTTTCGGGCAAAAGACCTGTCTTCGGGGCCGTACGCGTGGGACCCGCTCGTTTTTCTACAGCTAGTTTTTATCATCGTCTCCTGGGGGCGCGTGTCGGAACCAAAGGAACACGAGGAAACTTTCCTCTTCGAGAACCACAAGCATAAAAATATAAAAATTATAAGAAAAAGTCACAAAAAAATTCCAAATCATTTTTTTTGTCAAAAAATTCCAAATTATTTTATTTGACGTGTTTATCCTAAATTTTTTTTCGTGACACCATAAACCCAAAACTTATATCCGTGTGGTACATTTATCTCAATTTTTTTTTTGTGATGTCAAAAACCCCAATCTTATACTCGTTTGATATATTTATTTTGCACTTGTAACCGTGTTATAATTTTTAGCCTCCATGAATGAACGTCGCTAAAAATCTTATGTGGCCGCCTACATGGGGGATGGAAAGCAAATGGCAATGATGCATCAATCGTATGTTTTTTTTTCTCGTTTTCTTTTTCTCATTTTTTTTAACTTCCTCCTTCGTTTTCTTCCTTGGTTTGGTGATGGCGAGGACGATGGCAATGGCTATGGTAAGGGTAGCGGCGGCGGCAAGTGCGGCGGTGAAGACGAAGGAGGAAAGGAGAAAAGTAAAAACGAAAAAGAAATCTTGACGGAAAGTAGGGCAATTTTGATGTCACAGAAAAAGTTGGGGATAAATGTATTACATAGATATAAGTCTGGAGTTTTTCATGTTACACAATAAATGTATCGCATGGATATAAATTCGGGGCAATTATGTCATACGAGCACAAGTTATGTTTAGGGGTAAATGCGTAGCAGTGAACATAATTTGAGGTTTTCGATGGCTTTCACCCTAAAACGATAATTAGGAGGAAATTTTAAACATTGATTAATTCATGGAAATACCGCACGAGATATATTCTAATCAATCAGACAAAACCGCAAGACCATAGGAGATTGAAAAATGATAAAAAAAAAGGATTTCCTAATTTCTAGTGATTTGTGTCAGGGGGTTGCTTTTTCTCGGATCTTATCCCAGGCAGCAGCAGAAGCAGCAGCAGCAGCAGGTGTTGAAGCCGCACCACACAGCCACAGTACAGCAGCAATAAAACAAGAACTCGATTGGAAAGTGGATTTGAAGTCCGGTGCTTCTTGCCCGCAGTACACCCTCAGTGGAGCTCAGCTCCAACGTCACGGTGCCGTGCATGGCAAGATGGAACCATCATCAGTCTTGCAACAATGGCTGATGGACACCCCTCGTCCTGTAAGTTCAAAGAGAACGGGGGGTTCGATTCTTATGGTTGTGTAGGTGACGAGCTCTGGTGGTATAGAGATTTGTGCGGTCGGCCACCTCGCCAGAACATAATATCGGCGCGACGCTCGAGCTCGAAATGGAAGAATCGATATCCCGTCGTGGTTCTGTTTTTTCACCGAGGACCAAGTTCGCCCCATTGGGCGTTCCCGAACGCGCAGACCCCGTTTCGCCCTGAGAAACCTCCCGAGAGCTCGCAGGCTTTCCGGTCGAGAACTTGGCTACTAATGTGGAGGAGGAATGGTAGATAAAAAGTTACAAAGAATGGTGAAGATGGGCATTGGAGTATTTGGGGTTTGGAACAGGTATATATTCCGAGTGCAAAGAATGGTGAAGATGGGCATCGGAGTATTGGGGTTTGGAACAGGTATATATTCCGAGTGCAAGTCCCTTTCAACAAAAGAATTCAAACAGGAGGAGCAAACTTTCAGTTTCAGATACTAATTGCAGCAATAACATGCCTGAGAATTTTCTAGCAAATCGCAGCCCAACATTCTAAAGTACTCAAGGAAAATGACCCTCCACGGTGAATTGATCGATGAGAAACGAGTGAATTGAATTCTACCATGAACATCCTGACTAAGAAGAGTCGCAGACTGCATCAAGATACAAAGACTACTGAGAAACAGCAACTGATATGCAAAAGGTTTAGAGATTCCATACTTCACATGTCAACCTATTTTTCCGCGTCCCGGGTAGAAGGGACTTCAATCAGACAATACCACACTTATCTAGAATATCCGCCACTGTCTCTTGATAAGGAGCGCTCCCTGCGTCTCTTGGACGAGTCCGGATGTTCCTTGTCCCTCTCTCTCCTACCATAAGGAGAGCGGGATCTTCCTCGCCGGTCCCTTGGATAGTAATCATCGTCGCGCCGTCGGCGTGGAGAATAGCTGCGGGATCTTCTACCACCACGGCCTGCATTTTCAACTCCAATGAATATGACATGTTCAAATAACATTGTGAAAGTTAGGAGGATGCATACACTATACCTGGGCCTTGATGTTGAAACTTTATCAAAACAAATATTAAAAGAACGGCATTCAACTGAATCAATTAAAACCTAATACTATTATATAAGATAATGATAAGTTGACAAGGATATTGCCCACATTCAATCACTACGAGAGCAAATCAAGTGCATACCTCGTTTTTCTTTCAATCCAAGATACCTTCCAGGAGTTGGTGTCCTCCCACGCTTCCTTTTTGCCTGTAGAAAATAGATTATATTTTCAGATTGATTGAGTTAAACAAACAACTTAGTATCCTGTCTTATGCCCTTCAGTATTCAATACATAAACAAAAAAAAAATCACAAAGAAACAAGCAGGAAAGGATCAACTCCGTTGGAAGGAGAGTCATTCTAAAAGCTTCTATGCTATCTTAAATAACTTAAATTGAGAAGAAAGAGAGGCCAACGGCAGATACTTTTACTCATATCGTAAAAAGGGCATACACCCCTCGGCATCGGCAAAATAGTCGAATTGACTGACGAGTTCGGGAATGTCGCTGAAGAACTCATGCGGTGAATGAATAGGTTCAACGGATTAGATCTTAGATCGTGAATTCGATGGAGCACACAGACCAGACCTGCTGCTAAAATTCATCAGGCAACAATAACGAAAAAAACCTCTAAAAAGTTAACAAGACATAACAGCTCACTATAGTTAACTAATTATGAAATGAAAACACATACCTTCTCCACAGTGATCAGTCGGCCTTCAAAAACAGACTGGTTTAGATACTTTATACAGCGCTCTGCATCCTTGTTGGTTTCCATGGTGACAAAACCAAATCCACGAGAGTCTTTGGTGCGAGGGTCAGTAACCAACTGGCACTCCAAAACCTAAAACATAGCTCATTAAAGTATTTCTGGAATTACTTCCACAATTTATCCATTTATTTCTTGTTTTTACCTCTTTGACTGAAGAAAATATAAGATTCCAGCACTTTTAGTAAAGGGATGACTGATTGACTACAAACAACTTTCTCTATGTCTACTACAAACAACTTTCTCAATGTCTACCATCCAAGGTTTATATTGAGTACACTGCAGTCATTACTGACTGCCGCATATGAGCTTTCTCTTTCATTGAAGGCAGACATTCCAACAAGGCTTACAACAAGTAGGAGCAAATGACACAGCAAATAAGAAATAGAGGAAACAGCAGTTGTTCCACCGACTGTGCCGAGCCTCTAGCCATGTGTTTATCCAATGGCAATCAAACATAGATGACGCTACACTTTCACAAGCCTTTTACAACTTGCCATTTTCCTGAGCCTACGTCAATAACAGCTAATTTAATAAATTTAGTCTCACAAATTTCACCATACAGACTTGCTACTGCACCTTAAAGGTAGTACTAGTATGATCCACGCATTGCACTGTTACATCTCTCCATTATCAGATCATACTGCCCCCAAAATCGCTGTCAGCAAAATCTTATAGCCTAAGGAGAGGGCCTTTTAGTCCCCCACTTTCTTCTCTAGATTTTTGGCTTTTGACCAGAATAAATTTGCAACTTTTTTGGCCGGAGAAGAATTTGGCATTACAAGGTACTGTGTGAAAGAGGCACGACTAAAAACTGTTGCCTCAGCTTTCCACTCATGCTATTGAATGAAAATAAACCAGAAAAAGGTCAAAATGTTCTCCTTTAAAATATGAAAAGTAGGACATAATTAACTTTCGTGATGAATTTTTTATTTTGTGAAAGTTGTAGGCCGACATTACAGAAGCTATATACATGCAGAATCCCTGAACATTAGGCAGTTGGATGCCGTTGGTTCCTACTCATAAAACATCAAGACCCATCAGCTTCCATCGGCATCATTCGAATGAGTGATTACTATGAGGAAATGGCAGCTTTCAAAATCACATACCTTGCCTTCTTTACTAAAATATTTTTCGAGATCACTTGTAGTAACCCTGGTTGATAAACCCGTCACATACAAGTTATTCCCTGGATTGCCATCACCTTCATACTCTTGGCTCCTGGAACAATAGACCTCCATTGTTCAATTCGAGACACAACTAACAAATTGATCATCTAAAAAACCCCAATGGCAAGAATTTGTCACACAACAAATACAAGGGAATCCATACTTATCTATAGAAACGAAAACATACCTCGAGCGGCTTCTCCTTGATCTTGACAACGACCTTGACCTTGACCTAGACCGACGGCCTCTAACGGGTGAAGCTGAATCCCTAGATCTTGACAGCGATCTTGATTTGGACCGACGGCCTCTGACGGGTGAGGCGGAGTCGCGAGGAGAAGGAGACCTGCGACATGAAGCGGCACATGGAAAAGTAGGCTTACCAAGGCATAGGTTATGCAAACAAATCTGGGATTCAAAGAATCGACAGGAGAACTTACTTTTGTCTCCGTTTGTATGGCATCTACAAGTAACAAGAAAAATTCGATGTCAGAATCCATTAAACACCAACATTATCAACTGCCCGCAAATTATCTCTCAATGGTCTTACTCATTCGACTACATATGTCGTACAAACGTGCGACAATACGAATTCTCGCCGTTCAGTTCAAAAATTTAAGCTCCAGGTTGCTTAATGCCACCAACAATCTATACCATGAGCTGTCAACCCAAAGAACTAACCCTGCCAAGTAATTTTACAAACGTATCAAGAATTTTGACCCCCCAGCAACAGAATCAATCCCAGCTCATGAGCTTCTACCGGCTCGATCCCTCTAAAAATCCCCCACGAACGCGCGAAAAAGAAAAAAAAAAAGAAAACAGTCTGATTCAACATCTTCTCTTATCCAGCAGCAAATTCACGACAAACCCACGTCAGATACGCATATTTCCCGATCAAACTTCGCGTGATCTCGACAGGATGGACGAGCGCGGGATTGATCAGCATACAGACTTTCACCAAACAAACGGTACGACATGGCGGAAAAAACCACGAGCTACGAGCTAGGGAGCAAATGGAGAGACCCTAACCTTTTTACTCGGGTAGCTAAACGGAATCGGCCGAGTCGACACAGTTGCCCTAGAACGGCGGCTCGCTGGGTCGTCCGCGGCGGAGCACGGAAGTGAAGCGCAGAGAAATGGCGAAGATGGTTCCGGCGCTTTTTAACGAGCTCTTTTGCGGAGGAAAGGGAAAAAAACGCCTCGGCAAGGGCAACTCTTGCAAACCCAAAAAAGAAAAAAAAGAAAAAAAAAAAGGCCCGAACACTGCTAATATTCGAGGAATAAGCATATTAAAAATCCTACTAAAATTTGATGCAAAAGTGTGATTAAGCCTTGAAATTTAAAAAAAAAGAAGAAAGGTGCGATCGAATTAGTGCAATTAATTTCTTCGGCCAATAAACTTTAGCACTTTAACGAGGTCATTTTGGTCAAAATCCATATTTTTAACTTTTAGTTAAATAAGATAAAAAAATAAAAAGCTAAAAGTTCTTTAAAAAGCTCGAAAAGAAAATTACAAGTGGAAGGGCTAGCTTGGGTTGCCTCGCCGGCCGAAAAGCTGGCCAAGCATCGACGATGGCTGGCGATGGGGCGGCGGCATATAGGCAAAGGGTCCGGCCCTCTTTCCCTCATTGTTTTTTCCTTCTTTTTTTGTGTGTTTTTTTAAAACTCGTAGCCTGTTTTATTTTTTTGATTAATACCACAAAAAATCTCAAACTGATACATTTGTGATAAATTTATTTCTACTAATTTTTTAACTACAAAAAATCCATACACCCATGATAATCTTACTCTTTGTTAATTTTCGTTAAATTTTATTATCAAATTTCTGAGTTAGATGACACATGACAGTTGATGGGTGTACCATTTTGAGGTTTTATCCTTCGTTTATCATTCATAAATATATCGATTTGTGATTTTTCGTGATATTAATTCAATTTTAGGATTTTTTTAGCCAAAAATTAGTTTCCGGTATATTTGCGACAGGTGTACCAGTTTGAGATTTTTTGTGATAAAAAAATTAGTTCAGGCTAAATTTGCCACGTCGGTTTGGGGTCTTTTCGTGATGTTAACTTTTATTTATTTTATATCTGGTTCGCTTCATCCCCACCGCTCCGGCCCGATCCCGATATCCGGCCCGGCCCGGCCCGACAAGCGATTGCCCGGAACAGAGAAGAACCGTCCCAAATTCACTGCCAATGTTTTCTTCTACTTCCCTATAAAAAGGAGCTCCGGCTTCCCACCCTCTCTGTGGACGTCGGAAGATCAACGGGGATTCTGCGGTTTCCACTCCCCGAACCGCCACAGCAAAATCCCAATGGGACACGGTACGATTCTCTCTCTCTCGCTCTCGCCACCCGAGCTCAGCTCGGCGGCGCCGCCGTAGCCGTCGCCGCCGTCGTTGTCGATCTGCTGATGGCGAATCTTTTTTGCAGGTGACAAGGGCCGGCCCGGCAAGCGGCAGAAATCGTCGGCCAAGGTCAGTTCCCCTTCCTTAATCCAGTTCCGATTTCGCCCGCCCCAACCGAAAAAAAGAAACACAGAGGCGCGGCGCGGCTCGCGTATCGTTCCCCGCGAGATTGTTTGAGGCGGCCGACGCTGTTGCTGGCAGGATGATTACCGGAGCGCGATCGCCGCGGCGGCGGCGGCGGAGGAGGACGAGGCCATCTACGGCGAAGAGATGGAGGACGATTACCGCGACGGTACCGATTTATGCCGCGATGTTTCTGCTCGCTTGCTTGCTTGCTTTAGAGATAGGGCGGCTGGGTCGCGTGTTGGGAGCGGCTCGGGTGTTTTTCAGCTCGATCGCCTGGTGGTGGGGGTGGAATCGTGAGTTTCATTCATCTGTTGTTGCAGGGGACGGTGAAGGGAAAAAGAAGGATTTCAGCAAATTGGAGCTGAAGCCGGATCACGGCAATCGGCCCCTGTGGGCTTGTGCGGATGGCCGAATTTTCCTGGAGACGTTTTCCACCTTATACAAGCAGGCTTATGATTTTCTCATTGCCATTGCTGAGCCCGTTTGCAGGTACCCTTTCGACGCGCGAAGCGTTCTTCTCGAGATAGTTTGCGCTCATTCCTAACGCGGATGATTTAGTATCGCGTCTGTAGCCATAGGCTCATGAAATTTTCTCGGAGCACGGGCAGTTTTATCCGTTTCAATCCTGCCGTCGTCAGTGTGTAGTTCTTCGCTGCATTTCCTGATTCGTCATTTGGCCTGATTGATCTTTCGTTTTCTTTTCCTTTGTAGGCCGGAGTCGATGCACGAGTACAATTTGACCCCACACTCGTTGTATGCGGCAGTGTCGGTTGGTCTCGAGACGGAAACTATCATTTCTGTATTGAATAAATTGTCGAAGACCAAGCTCCCTAAAGAGATGATTGACTTCATACATGCTTCGACCGCTAATTACGGAAAAGTGAAGCTTGTGCTTAAAAAGAATCGGTACTTCATTGAGTCGCCCTTTCCTGAGGCAGGACAATTTATCTATTCCCTTTTCCTTCGCTCTTCTAAACGTTGGATTGGGGTTGCTAATCAGAAAAATAATTACAGGTGCTGAAGAAGTTGCTTAGGGATGACGTTATATCTCAAGCTAGGATATCTTCTGAGGTTTGTGTCTAGACTATTTTTAGTTGAAATGATGCGTTTCGTTTGCCTGCCGATGCAAACAATTTTGCGACGAACTCTCTTTCCATGCTGTTGTTCAGGCATTTTGTCTAAGGCATGATTTGGCCCTGTGTTGTAAGTCGGTCTTCTTCGGAATTGAAGAAGACTATGACATGCTCTGACAGTAAGAGATTCACATGAATATGACTTTCTTTTTATGATAAGATAATACTTCTGTCCCAGTTGAATTTAGGAGACTTGAAGACACTTGTCAATCGTTTTCCTTTTAAATGGCCAACTTGATGAGGATTTGGCAAACGAGATGATGAAATCTTTACTAATGTGGTTATCAATTTTAAGTTTGCTTCGGGGAAGGAATTCATTTCACCCCAATATTCATATTTTTCCTTGATTTGCCTTATGACAGCATCTATATTCTGTCTACTATAGCAATCAGCCTTGATTATAAAGCTTCTCAATATGCTATTTCGCACTTCCTTCTGATGCAAACTTTCTTATCGAGTTAATGCTTTGTTATTGTTTGTTCTTTCCTGCACATTTCCTTTTTGAAGTTTTAAGTCTTGACAACAATAGCTTCATGCTCGCCATATGTGGTTTATGTTTCCTTATGTCTTTATCTCGAGAGGAATAATACATAATCTAGCCGTACAATCATTGGTACAAAATATCTGGTAATATGCAGGGACTTGGTGCTGATGGATTTACAATTAGCAAAGCAATGGGTGAAGTTGGGGTTGGACATAATGAGTTACTGAATGAAGCAGAACTGGCTGCTGCAGCTGAGGAGAAAGAAACTCACTCATTTGAGATCGATCCTTCTCAGGTAAAGCTTTCAGACTGTTAGTTCCCCTATATGCTAGGATCTCGTACCTTCTGCTTGGACTAATTGTCAGTGATCATGTTTTATCAAAGCAGAGTTGAGGTCACTGATCTTGAATGCAATTACATATCCTAGATTTAGTTGGCCAGAAACTATGGCATTGGAAACTTATTGCTTCTTTGATCCATTCTTAGTTTGTGAACTGTTTCCATTGCTTCTGTCCTTATATTTGCATTCTCTATTTTTTCTTTCGTTTCCATAACCATCTCATGGATTCTGACTGGTGTTCCGTCAGTGTCAATTGATTGATGCTCATCAAGTGTGCATGCTGTAACGTATATTGGATAACTTAAGGTTCTTGCAAGCGCATCAGTACTGTCTTTTACTTTTGTAGGTTGAAAATGTGAAGCAACGCTGCTTGCCCAATGCTTTGAACTATCCCATGTTGGAGGAGTATGACTTCAGGAATGATACAGTGAGTTACAATTCTCGATTATGATCTCTGTATTAAGTTGAAATCTAAAGTACAATGTTAATCTCATATATGTTAATAAATTTAACATGTAGAACCTTTCATGACATTTCTTTACCTCAGTGAGATCTTGATGCTAGTTGACGTGCCTTGACCGTCACACAGGTAAACCCTGACCTGGAAGTAGAGCTGAAGCCTCATGCACAACCACGACCATATCAAGAAAAAAGCCTTAGTAAAATGTTTGGAAATGGTAAGACTTTTTCTACAATCACAAGCATTGATTTTTTCAGTCATGTCCACAAAGCAGTCTTCAGGGGATGACCCTGTGGGTTTTAGAGACTGCTTCAGACTTCAGACTCTGCAATCCCAATGCCGGAAAATTGCCTTTTTCTTTCTAGAATTTAGGTGCCTGACCTTGTGATGACTGATTAAGAGAAACTTGACCAAGAAACTCCCTTTTTATGGGGGAAAGTGCAATTTGGCAATTTTGAGGCCGTCTTAACGCTGTATTTGTTACAGAAAGTATGTTGTCCGGTAACCGAACTT